ACACCACTGCACTGCACTTCTCTGCGCGCGACGCGTGTCTTCTTGACCCAAGGGCCTCTCTCTCCTGGCCAACCTCTCAGAACATGTCCTCGATAACCGGAAGGTGTGTGTGTGTGTGCTGTGCTCCACTTCTTAGGCATCCCTTTTGATTGATTGCACGCCTCACTCACACACTCACTGACTTACTCACACACTCACTCACTGACTTACTCACACACTCACTCACTGACTTACTCACACACTCACTCACTGACTTACTCACACACTCACTCACTCACACACTCACACACACACACACTCACTCACTCACACACACACACACACACACTCACTCACTCACTCACTCACACACACACACACACACACTCACTCACGTACACCGTGCAGACGATCCTGGCTGTGGACTTGTCGCAGCAGACGGCGGCGGAGCGGCAGTCCTCCGTGGCGATGGCGATTCAGGACGACGAGCGCGTGCTGCGCTGTCTTGCTCGCTTGTACACCGACCGCATTGTGGGCCGCACAGCCACGCCGGCAACAGCGGCAGTCAACGCAGCAGCCAGCAGCGCCCAGGGCGAGACCAGTGACAGCACCAACAGCACCAACAGCACCAGCGACGGCGGTGATGGCGACACTGGGAGCATTAACAGCGGTGGCAGTTGCGATTCCTCCCGCCAGATTCAAATGCCGCGGCGAAATGAATCCATTTCTGAATTGCAGCAGGCCCGAGAGCAGCGCGACGCAGACCAGGAGACGTCGGACAATGTCGTGGCAGCGTACACGGGCATCTTGATCGGTTGTCTCTGCAGAGACAACAAGGTGTGTTTCTTGTGTTTGTTTTGGTTCGGGTGTGTGTATCCGTATGCGCTTCCTTCTTGCTTTGTGCCTTTGTTTCCTTCTTTCTTACACCACAATCACCACCACTCTCCACCGCCACAGGCTGGCGAAGACGAGCTGCGTGCGTGTGCAACACCGGAGCTGCTGACGGCGATGGTTGGCCACCTCAAGGAGTTTCTCGTCTACCAGCAGCGAGCGGTGTGTGTGTGTGTGTGTGTGTGTGTGTGTGTGTGTGTGTGTGTGTGTGCGTGTGTGTGTCTGTGTGTCTGTGTGTGTGTGTGTGTGTGTCTGTGTTTGTGTGTGTCTGTGTGTGTGTCTGTGTGTCTGTGTGTCTGTGTCTGTGTGTGTGTTGTTGTTGTTGTTGTTGTTGTTGTTGTGTTTTCGCGTTTGCTTCTTCTCACTCAACCACCCACTTTTTATTCATTCAATCATCCCCACACATACCTCCACCAGGGAGTGAATCGGGATCAAGACAAGAGCAGCATTCAGGACATAATCACACAGCTCGAAGCAATTGCTGCCGGCGCTTCCCCAGCTTCACAATAGCATTCGCATGCACACACGCACGCACGCACTCGCATTCGCGCACGTCACGACAGTCTCTCAAGTGCAGCGTCAATTAAACGCCTTGCTTCTCTGCCCTTTGTGGCATCTTGATTGATGTGGGGGTTTTGTTTGTCTATACTCCCCGCTTTGCACGGACGTCGTTGCGACACGAAACGGCAGTTGGGTGTTCAATGAACCCTTGGTTGGCGACGTGAAATCAAGCCATAGAAGCCACACTACTCAACACAGGGCGATGATAATGACACCACACGAGCGTACACCAACAACGCAACACAACACGCAAAACCGCACACTCTCGGCAGCGGGGCTGTTGTGATGCGCATTTAATCGTGAGAGAAAACAGGGAATAGAGAAGGAAGAAGAGGAGGGGGAGGGGATTGAGGCAATTGGGGGCACGCAATGGGAGCGAAACGGTGGAGGCAGCAGGGAGCAAAAAGTGAATACAACAGCGGCAACAAACAGGCAATCAAATTGGGAAAGAACAAAGCAAAAAGGCATCAGGGAAGCATATGCAGCAGCGGTCATCAAAGGCAGAGAGAAGCCACCATTCACGTGTGTTGACACGAGGCGACATAGGGAGACATGTTGAAGGGCGAGAACAACACACAAGCTAGCCTCTATGCAACACAATCAGCAGCACCGTCAACAACAGCAAAACGGCTGCACAACCCAGCACACGAGACGGCAAACACAAGAAGGTCCTCAGCAAGACCACCAAACGCGGTAAGGGAAACAAACCTCGAAACAGCAAAGACGGGAGGAGGTCGAAAACACAAACGCACAAATGCAAAACCGCACAACGTACGAAAGGAGCACTTAAAAGTGTGCATGCTTGAAATATAATGGTGCGACGTGCTTGGAGTCGACCCGGAACAAGCAAAAGTGGCCAGCAAAATCAGCTCAGCTCGCGTGGTCCAGATGGCAGTAGCCGCCACAGCAGCACGCACGCGTCCACATTCACTTAGTAGTTGTTGCGACGGAAGCCGCCACCACGACCGCCACCACGACCACCACCGCGTCCACCGCCACGACGGAAACCGCCACGTCCACCGCCACGTCCGCCGCCACGGCCGCCGCTGCGGAACCCGCCGTTCCTGTTGCCGTTGTAGCCGCCGCCACGATATGAGCCGTTGTTGCGGAACCCACCGCGACCAAAGCCCTGCTCCTCCTGCAGCTCAGGCAACTTCTCGGCGACTGTCAGCCGCAGGTTGGGGGTATCGCTCCAGTTGTCCTTGATCGTCTTCATCATGCTCGATGGCCTACCAAGGGCCAGGGGGACAACAAGAACAGCAATAGCGCACAGGAAGGGGGAAACGTCGTGTCGCGTGAGTGGCAGCGGTGGCGGTGAAAGCAAAGTAAACAGCACAGCAGCTGGAAGGGGGAAGTACACATGTATGTACACACATCCACAAATCTGCACAACAGACAAAAATACAACGCATAACACACATACACACAACAGACAGCAGCGTGTGGACTCACAGGTCAAAGACAGCGCCCATGCGGTCCTTCTGGAGACGAATACCGCGAACGGCCTCGCGCACCTCCCGCGGCAGGTGGTGGCCCAGCACGCTGAACCTGTCCACGCACAAACACACACACACATGCATGCACACGGCAAGGAAGCGTGAATGAGTATTGTCGGGAGGGCAGTGTTGGTTGGAATGACATGTGCTGTCTGTGACATGAATCCAAACACACGCACACACACGCAACGACGAAAGCACAGGCCAGACATTGGAGAGCGATGCACAAATTGAACGTACACAAATGCCTTTCCGCGAATCTCCGTGTCTGTGGTGAGGTGGAAGGCGGTGAATCCCTCGAGGGAGGAGAGAAGACTGCGGCCCTTGATGGTCGTCGATCCGCTGATGTGTGCGAGCGCGGCTGCCAGCGCGTCAACAGCGTTGCCCTTCTCCTCAATAAACGCCTGAAGCGGTGATCATTTATCGCAGCAGCAGCAACGGTGGTGGTGATAGCAGCGCGTGAGGAATTGTGTACGCGGTTCGAGGCGTGCATATGGGGGAAGCGTTTGAACAGCGGCAGCTGCAGTTCCGCTTTTGAACGCACACTAAATGTCCGCACTTGCGCTAAGAAACCAAACACAAGGCACAAACACAAACACGAAGCACAATCACAGTCGGGCAGCGCACCTGTGCGGCCTCCTGGAAGTAGACGAGCACGTCGTTTGTGACGCTGTCGAGGAAGCGCGTGGCATCGCGTGCACTGGCTTTGATAATGTCCGCCGGCTGCGGCGCACCAATGCGCGTGAAGCTGATGCCTGCACGGCGCTCCACCTCCCGCAGCTGCTGCTCCTGGTTTGGCTTGTAGAAGCAGATGCACGTGCCCTTGCGGCCGGCGCGGCCTGTGCGGCCAGAGCGGTGGATGTACGACTCAACGTCCTTGGGCGGTTCGCACTGCACCACAAGGTCAACCTCGGGGATGTCAATGCCTCTGCAATAGAGGAGGAGACAAACAAGATGGGGGATTACGAGGAAACAAGAAAGGATGGCGGAAATCACACGTGTGAGTGAAGTGGCATGAGGGGGAAGGACAAGCAACGAGGAACAATTCAGCGGATACAAAGTGACAGCGACGACATGTGCGCGCGTATGTGTGTATGTGTGTGTATGTGTGTGTATGTGTGTGTATGTGTGTGAATGTGGTGTGGTCGTGACCATCCATCCCACCTTGCAGCGACGTCTGTGGCGACAAGGCAGCGGACTTTGCCGTCGCGGAAGCACTGGAGTGACAGCTCGCGCTGTGCAGAGACCGAACAAAGAAACAAACAAGCAACGACAATAGACATGTGAGCACGACAGGCGGCTGATATGCAGAAGCACGCAGCAACATACGACACACGCGCGCATGCACACACACACGCGCACGCACGCACGCACACACCTGCTTCTGTGCAATGTCGCCGTGGAGGACCTGGACTTCCTGCTTGAGTGTGTCGTTGAGGGCGAGCTCATTGGCGTCGCGCTTCGTCTGCGTGAAGATCATCGTGCGGCCGTGCGCGCCAGAGTACACCTGCACAACGTCGGCAATCACCGTGTTGCGCGCCTGCCAGGGGCACCGCAGCGCAAGATGCTGCACGCTGTTTGGGACAGCGTAACAGCGAGGGGTATGTGTGGTGCACATGTAGAGGGGAATGCGAGAAGGTGGCATGCGATACCGGAGGTGGGTTGGGTTAGGGGCAGGAGGGCGCGTGCAATTCAACAAACTGTTGCACAGCACACAAAAATGCACGGTGCACACAAACCACAACACGCACAACACGCACAACACGCACAACACACACACCACACACACCACACACACAACGCACACAACACACGCACAACCCACAAACCCCACAAAACCCACAATACACTGAGAGTGACACAAGCTGACTGACCCGGTGCTTGTACGGTTCATCTCCTTGCCGACCGTGTCGACGACCTTGTGCTCGGGCATGTACTTGGTGAGGGTGGACTTGATAAAAGGGGGCATGGTAGCGCTGAAGAGAATCATCTGCGGCTTCTGACCAGCCTGCTCCACAGCCATGCTCAGCATCTTCTCGACCGTGTCCACAAACCCGACTTCAAGCATGCGATCAGCCTCGTCCAGCACAAGATACCTGCACCGAAAAAAAAAAGCGCGTGGCGAGGGCGCAGGGGGTGAGCGAGTGGACAACAAAACGGGGTGCAAAGGCATGAATCTGTGACGAGAGAGGGGAGGGGGACGAGAGAACGGAGAAGAACGACAACAGCAACAGCAGCGGTAACAGTGACAGCGATAGGAATGTGGAACGCACTGGAGGTTGGTGAGCTGGAGGGCGCCAGACTCCATGTGGTCCATGAGGCGGCCCGGTGTGCCAACAACCACGTCAAGTCCGTTGCGGAATGCGCGGCCTGGTGATAACAACACGTGGCGTATGCACGGAGGTGGTGTGAGATGTTGATGGGCATTGTGATGAAGGGAAATGTGCGCATACATGTTAGCATGCAAACTGGAATTTACACACACTGAAATTGACACACACCAACACGCAAACGAACACGCAAACAAACACGCACGCAAACAAACACGCACGAACACACGCACACGCATGCAGTTCGCTGAACGTACGCTGGGGCTCGTAGTCTGTGCCACCGTAGATGCATGTGCTGGCGAGGGAAGGGCCAACCTTCTGGAACTCGCGCCACACCTGCGAGGCGAGCTCACGGGTCGGGGCCATGACGAGGACGCGTGGGCGGCGGCCGCGGGTGGTGTCGGGCGAAGCAAGCAGCTTCTCAATGACGGGCAGCGCAAAGGACAGCGTCTTGCCTTCGCCAGTGCGGGCCTTGCCGAAGATGTCGTTGCCGGCCATAATCAGGTCAAACGTCTCTGTCAGAGGGGAAAATTGTGGTGGTGTTGGTTGGAGGAGAAGGAAGGAGGAACAGAGTTAGTGTGGGTGTTGGGTGAGGGTCAGCAATTGGTTGCAGCACATGAAGTCAGTGCCAGCACATCACAAAGCAGCCAGCCTTGGAAGCAAAGAGTGCAGCACTCGTAACACTCGCAACATATCATGTGGTCACGTTCAACGCACTGGCTTGGATGGGGAAGAGGTACTTGTAGCCGTGCTTCTCAAGGTTGTTGCGGGACTTGTCGGAGATGTCAAAGTTGTCCAGGGCACCCTCCTTCTGAACCTGAGACATCTGCAAAACGCGCACCAAGTACACAACACCGAGAGTACACATGGCATGAGGATGCACACAGGTGAGGGAATGCACAGTGCAATGGGAAAGTAGTGATGTGTATTGATCAAGCACGCGAGGTACAGTGCTTGAGGGCAATGTGAGTGCTGGCCTACCTCTTCGTCTTGGTCATCAGAATCGTCGTCCTTGACTGTGCTCTTGGCCTTCTTGGTGGGGTGGTCTGCGTAGGGCGACAAGGGAATGAGCAGGAGATTAGATGAGCAGAGGAAATTGGATGAGCACATTGGAACCTTCGGCCAGGCAGACCACAGCAATACGATGGCACAACCGAAGCACAGGGATCGCCAAGGCAATGACAAAGCCGATCGCAAACCGTATCAACACAAACACACACACAACATACCGATACACACAGCAAACAAAGGTGGCTTACTCTCTGCATCGGAGTCGTCGTGGGCTGCACCGTTGATTGCAGAGTGTTCTGATTCCTGATCGCTGACGGCAGACTCGCCCTCGTCGGTGGAATGCCTGCGCTTGGAGCTCTTAGACTTCTTGCTCTTCTTCTTCTTGTCCTTCTTCTCCTTCTTGGACTTCTTCTTCTTCTTGGGAGAGGAAGAGTCCTTGACTGGGGACTCGACGATCGCCTCCTGCGGCTGCTCGTCTTCCTCGAGGCTGTGTGCAACCATCGTCATTTGTGTGGTAGTGTGTGCTCGGAGGGTGTGTAGTGGAGTGATGCGGGATCAAGCGGTGAAGGATGGATCAAAGTTGAGTCGCGTGCACGTGGCTTGGCTTGATTGGCTTGGAGTGTGTGTCGTGGCTGGGAAATGGCCTGCGCGTGTGCTGCTGTGAGGACTTTGCTGCTGGGCTTTGTGTTTTTCTGCGATCGCGCGTGCACGTGGGATTGTTGAGAAACGTTTTATGATGTCGTCAACCGGTAATGGGCGGGTCGACTGAAATCAGTCGTGCTGGATTGTCTGTCTGTGTCTGTGTCTGTGTCTCTGTGTGTGTGTGTGTGTGTGTGTGTGTGTGTGTGTGTGTGTGTGTGTGTGTGTGTGTCTGTGTGTCTGTGTGTCTGTGTGTGTGTCTGTGTGTGTGTGTGTGTATGTGTGTATGTCTGTCTGTCTGTCTGTCTGTGTCTGTCTGTCTGTGTGTGTCTGTGTCTGTGTCTGTGTGTCTGTGTCTGTGTCTGTCTGTGTGTGTCTGTCTGTCTGTGTGTGTGTCTGTCTGTGTCTGTCTGTCTGTGTGTGTCTGTGTCTGTGTCTGTGTGTCTGTGTCTGTGTCTGTCTGTGTGTGTCTGTCTGTCTGTGTGTGTGTGTGTCTGTGTCTGTGTCTGTCTGTGTGTGTGTGTGTGTATGTGTGTATGTCTGTCTGTCTGTCTGTCTGTGTCTGTCTGTCTGTTTGTGCTTTGAGTGCACGCTTGCGCACGCTGTTGCCGATCAGTGTCGCGCTGTCAACGCAACACCGCACGGCTTGTCAGGCTTGCGCGTGTGCTAGAGTTCGTCGTGTGTCTTGACGAAGCGGCCCACCACAGGATACTTGGCCTTGTACACGGTCTCAATCACCTGGACAAAAGAACACGTGCACCAGACAAGGGGACACGGCGGGCAAATACATGCATGGTTGGTTGAATTGATGGGGTGGGGTTGGCTGGATTTCAAGGGAAAGGTTTGTGTAAAGTGAAGTAGCAAGCGTGGTGACGTGCTTTGTGCACATCCTCACTGCGCACCAAACGACAATTCAAGCAACACTAAGAAACAACCAAACAAGACAAGAAACGCGCGTGTACCTCATTCAAACCAGCAAGTTGCTCCTCGGTAAAGTCCGACTGTGACAGCAGAAAATGACACAAGACGCAACAAAGAAGCACAGGGCCTTGCATGAACGACATGACAGAAGGGAACGAGCACTGCACAAACACAACACACACCGACACACACCGACATACACATCGACGCACACACACCGACACACACACACACGCAAATCATCACCCTCAGCACCAATCACCACAATCAGCATCATACAATGTCGTCTGTAAGGTCCTTCTCGTCCAATGACCAGAGCCCCACAGCACGCGTGCTGTCCTTGCCAACCAGCTATGGAAACGGGAAAAGGGTGTGGTGTGGTGTGTGGTGTGTGTGTGTGTGGTGTGGTGTGGTGTGGTGTGGTGTGGTGTGGTGTGGTGTGGTGTGGTGTGTGGTGTGGTGTGGTGTGTGGTGTGGTGTGGTGTGTGGTGTGGTGTGGTGTGGTGTGGTGTGGTGTGGTGTGGTGTGTGTGCGTCAATATGACACCGATTGTGAGAGTAAGGGAGATGTGCGGAGTCGTGGTGGTCAAGCATACGAGGTGCGAACACATGCAGGGCATCAACGGCGCAGCAGCAGCATAACCAAGAGATGAGCAGCTCAACAAGTAGGCAGCGTGTCTCAAGCACAAAGAGAAAAAAAAAAGCAGCACACGTACCGCGTTGTAGGAAGCACCAGGGCCATAAAACCCTGGTTGCATGATGTAATGTGTGACGCAACAGCCAAAGAACGTGAATGATTTGTGCATATGCAGGTGACAGCAACCAATGAGTGCACACACACACGCGCGCGCGCGCCATAGCTTGACAAGTATCATGCAACGCTAAATGGAGGCAAAAGATGCCTCCTTGCGTGCACGTAACAATGGAGACAATTTGAGACAACGTGTCTCCTCAACTGCAACCAACACGCACACGACGCACACGACGCACACGACGCACACACGCACGCGGCACACACGCGCACACGGCACGCACGCAGCACAACACACGAGCGAGAACTGGCGTACGCACGTTTGCCTGCGGTGACGTCGTACACGATGCCCTTGAGCGAGATTAAGATTGGCAGCTCCGGCTGCAAACAACCAAGAGCAAGACGTAGAGAAAACGAGGTTTCGTCCAATGAGCACGCTCAGGGTCTCCATCAACGTCGTGGACCACGCAAACAAAGCACGTGCTACACAATGATGTGATGTGACATGACTTCACGCCTTGACTGCACAAACACAACCAGATCCAACAACACAACAGTACAACACAACAGTACAACACAGCCACACACAACACAACACAACACCGGCTCACATCACGTCCGTCGTATTTCTTCAAGTCCTCTGCGGTGAAGGCTGTCTGCGGAAGCGTGTCCTCTCCGGCTTGCTCTGCACCGACTGCTACTGCCGCTCCCGCAGCAACAGCGACAGCGAGCACCACACCAATCAACAACACTGATCGCATCTCCTTGCTTGTTGTTGGTCCTTCTTGTTGGAATGTTTATGCAAATCATAGATACTTTTCTGCAAACCAGGCGGACCACTCTCGCACACTGATGCTTTCTGCCTGAAGACATTCACTCACTCACTCACTCACGCACTCACGCACTCACTCACTCACTCACTCACTCACTCACTCACTCACTCACTCACTCACCCGCTCACTCACTCACTCACTCACTCACCCGCTCACTCACTCACTCACTCACTCACTCACCCGCTCACTCACCCGCTCACTCACAAGGAAAGCTGACCAAGCATGCTCTTGTGTAGACGGCGCCGCACTTCGCTGATCCCGCTGTCCCTGGTCGTGTTGTTGCTCAGCTGCGACACATCCACCCGCTGTTCCTGCTGCTGTTGTTGGTACTGCTGCTGCTGCTGGTGGTGGAGGTGGTGGTGCTGCTGCTGCTGCTGGGTAGTGGACCTCACAGCCGTGTCCGCAGCATCGCCAGTGGCATCGCCACCACCGTAGGCGGGCCTGACGTCTCTCGTCGCCATGCCAACACTGTGAACGGATGACGAATCAGCGCGGTGCCGCGTGGCCGTGGCTGTGGACACCTGTATGCCATCTGTGCTCGAGGCCTGGTGATGTTGGTGCTGCTGGTGCTGCTGGTGCTGACTGTAGTGTGCACGTGTGTTGCTGTTGTCACTGCCATCACCGCCGCCATTACGCCGCACCCACTGTGCAAACGGCATTGGCGTGCTGTGCGTCACCGCGTGGCGATAGTGCATTTCCTCCGTGGGTGCCGTGGAGGGCCTGCTGCGCACACTGTGCTCACTCGGCGCCACAACCGCACTGTGATCACGTGCGCACGTGCATGTGGACATGTGTGAGAGAGCGAGAGACGGGGGAAGGTGACCGACCGATCAAAGGGTTTTGAGCAGCATGTCGTACAAACAACGGCACAATGTGCACACGTGCACAGGAACAATGCGCGGCATGTTTGAGTTTTTCCGTACTCACCCGTCCAGCTGCTTCAGCTCGTGCAGCAGTGCCGCTTTGCTCTGCTTCAAGTGCCGGATCTGCACCTCAAACTCGCCCTCCTGCCAGCCATTTGTGTGTGCACATGTGTGCACGTGTATGTACGTGTGTGTATGTGTGTATGTGTGTGTGCGTGCGTGCGTGCGTGTATGTGTGTGTGTGAGTCCACTGACCACTCACATGCCCACAAAGGCATGACTCGCGAGGGAGAACCATGACAACCACAATGTTTCGACCAACAGCACGCATGCGCGTGCGACCACCAGCTGTGCCGCTGCTGTACCTTCTCACTGAACGCGGACTGCTGCTGCTCCATCTCCTCGCGCAGCGCCTCCGCTTGCCTGCAGGCACCGTACCCACGGTGACATGCAACACAATGCAAGACACATGTCATTGAGGGCGGTGGAGTGGAAAAGAACAGACGCAGAACACACGTCAATCAAAATGCAATACACAGTATGAACCTGCACCACAAAAACAACAACCAACGACAATGCTACCCCACTCGACCTGAAGTGCATCATACACACAGCCAATGTCATCAACCACCCACCACCACTCACCACCACCATTCATCACCACCCCAATCACAACCACGACTGCAACGCACTCGACTGCCTGCTTGAGCTCGTCTGTGAGCTCGGCAACGCGCGTCTCCAGTGCCGTCTCCTTGCGGTACAGCTCTGTCTGCATCTGCTTGATCATCCGCTCCTGCCGCGCATTCGTCTCAGACAGCGGCTCAACCTGCGACGCACGCGCCTGGCACACGTTTGTGTGGGGGGGGGAGGAGGATATGTGTGTGTGAACATGTGTCAGGTGTATGTGTGCAGCCAATGTCTGCCTGAGTCCGCAGCAGCACACAGCTCCACGTGCAAGCAAGAGCGGCCAATTCACGACACCTGCGCCTCCTCCAGCTGTCGCTTCAGCGCGTAGTATGCACTCGCTTCAATATGCGATTGGCTCAGCTGCAACACGAAACAACAAACAACGCAGCAAACAGAACAAAGACGGTGTGTGTGAGCCGTGATGGAGTGAGCAAACGTGTCGATGAAGGAAGCAGGTGTGTTGGATCAAAGACACACAGCAGCATCCGCACTCAGACTCGCAGAGTCACACTCATGTATCTACGTTCATGCACTTCTACCGCGGCATACACCCAGCCACATCCACACACACACGCACGCACACACACACACACGCACCTCGCTTAGCTCCTGGTAGATGCGGTGGTTGGTTGCGTCAAGTTCCTGCACGCGCGCGGTGATGCTGGCAAGTTCCTGTGCCTGCCGCTTGTTCTTGCTGTGCAGGTTTGCATTTGTGTCTTTCAGATCATCCACCTCCGTCGCCAGCGCATGCTGCTTGCTCTTCAGGTCAAGCAGACGCAGCCTGTGGCGCGTGTGTGTGCGAGTGTGTGTGTGTGTGTGGGGGGGGGTGGGAACAGTGATGTGAGGTGCATGGTCCCGTGCGTGTGTATGTGTATGCAACAAGCATAGTGTGGTTGATATCGTGCAATGGAAGCAGCACCACAACGTCCTCACCATCAGTACCACCACCACCAGTGCCGCCCGCACCTGAATCGCTGTGCGGTGTCGCACAGGACACGGCGCTGCGGGTACCACGTCATCAGACGGAGGCCGAGACGAGACGGGACCTCCACTGGCCAGCGGTGAGCAGCATGTCGGGGGGAGGGAGGGAGCAATGTGAGGTGTGGGGAAAGCGGGGGAACAGCGGTGTGGGCACAGATGCAGTGATGGTTCGTTTGGGGGGGGGGAGGAGGTGATATTGGAGGGGTCGAAATCCAACAGGTGCCGAGCACGACAACACGGTACAATCTGCCCTGTGTGGCAAACCCACCGCCAAAAGCGCCCATGAGGGAGTAGAGATAGTCTGAGGCCGTGCGCACGGGTCGCATGTCTTCTGTGACCGACGAGCGCGGCGAATCGTCAAACAGCAGCTCCTTCAGGTGCAGCATCTGGCATCAGGCAACAATACAGCCGTGAGGCCAGCGCAGCGCAGGAGCGTGTGTGTTGGCTGTGTGTGTGTGTGTGTGTGTGTGTGTGTGTTGGCTGTGTGTGCGTGTGTGTGTTGGCTGTGTGTGTGTGTGTGTGTGTTGGCTGTGTGTGCGTTGACTGGAGAAACTCAATACCAATCAAAGCACCACTGCTACAACTCGCAGCAGCAGCACTTGCAGCAGCAGGGATGATGACCTGGTTTGCGACGTCGACGTGCTTGCCAGCATGATGCAATAACTCGTCGTCATCAAGATCGTCCATGTCCTCCACGTGTTCGTGTGTTGGTGTGCGCGGCCGGTACGACCTGGCAGCAGACAATATGTGGTCGTGGTAGTGGTGGTGAGTGGTGGTGGCGGAGGTGAGTGGTGGTGGTGGAGTGAGAATGAATCAAACGGCACGTCTCAACGCAACAGCAGCTCGTGCACGTGTGCGTGTGGTGACAGCATCACGAGAGGTTGTCGCCACACCTGCGCCACGATGCAGCCACGACGTCTGGATCGAGCAGGGAACGGCGCTGAGCAAGGCGGCGGCAGGCAACAACCACGAGCGCAGCACTCTGCTCGGCACACAGAGAAAAAGAAGGGTGTGATTATGTAAGTGAGTGAGGGTGAGTGTGTGTGAGTGTGTGGGGAGGGTGCAATTATGTGCGTGAGTGATTGCGTGAGTGCGCGCAAAGCACGGCCATGTACACTGAATAAAGATACACTGTGAGCCAGTGATGTTGCCAGCAAGCACACGCGGCAGTCAACCCCTCCACCAGGGCTTGCGAGTGCACCTTGAGGCTCCAGCACGCGCGGTCGCTGTTCGGCGAAGAGTACCTGAGAGTCACGAGGTTGAGGGGTGAGATATGAAGAGAGAGATAGGTGCAACCCACCTCACACAGGGAGACACACGAACACATGCCCACATACGTACATGCGCACACGCACAAATGCCTGCGGCATACGTACTTGAGGATTCTGTTTGTTTGGACGACGCAATCGATGGAACGGGAGAGGACAGGACCAGTGCACCTGAACACATGAATGGTTGGTTGGTTGGTTGGTTGGTTGGTTGGTTGGTTGGTTGGTTGGTTGGTTGGTTGGAATGAGGAACGCGAGAGCGTATGTACGTCAGCATTACACGCCACGGTCATGCACACACACACACACACATACACACATACACACACATTACGCGACTGTACCTTGCGACGGCGAGAATGCGGGCGATTCGATCACAGAGGGAGAGGCCGACCTTGCGCATACCGCCGATGATCGTGTGGCACGACTGCCACTCAGACTGCCGGTGAAGGCGGAAAGCGGTGGTGGGCACGTGTAAGGGGAGGCTCAACCAAACACCGAGGTCTTGCGTTTAGATACACAGGCACATGCAAATACAAAACACACAAACACACGCAAAAACACATGCAAACAAACACGCAAATAAATGCAACAACACACACAACACCCCCCCCCCCAATTCTCTGCCAGTGCCTCTGCCACTGCACCAACGCACCTTCCACCGCTGTGTGAGTGCGTCGACATTCTGCTGCAGTTCCTGACAGGCGGCCTGCTCCTGCTGCAGCGTTCGCATGGCCGACACCAGCCTGTTCTGCAGTTCAAAGATCATCGCTCCATCCTCCTCCTGCCGCTGCGTGTCTGCTTGTCGCTGTTTCGATGCTACCGCAAGCTGCTCGCCGGCGACAGACAGCTGGTGCTGCACGTGCTCGGCGTGTTCCTCGACTGATTTCAGTTGCTCCTATCGCCGTTGCCGCAGCATGCATTGTGAGAGTGATTGGTGGTTGTGAGCAAAGGTGTCATCGATGCTGCGTGTGCATGCGTGCATGTGTGTGTGCGTGTGCGAGCGAGAGGTTGTCGATGATGCAGCCCTTCAACCGACAGCCACCAGCCACCACCAGCAGCCACCATCATTCGCTGCTGTGCTGCAGTTACCTTGAGCAGCTGGATCTGTGCGGTCTTCTCTGCAATGTGGCCGTCGTACAGTTCGCGCTGCACTCCGCTGTCCTCCAGCACAGACCGCACCGCCAGCGACAGCGCGTGGATGCACTCTGTCAGCTCGCTCTGCGGGCTGCAGACACGTGGAAACGTGTGGGTACACGTGTGTTGGTGGCAATGTGCCGGCACAGGTTGGGGGTTGGGGAGCATTGGCACCGTACATGCACACGCATGTGCACGAATATGGACACACGCACTCACACACACCCACACACACACACACTCTCTCTCCCTCTTTCTCACACACACACACACGCACACACACGCGCACACGCACACACGCACACACGCACACACGCACACACGCGCGCACATGCACACTCACACGCGCACACAAACACATACATACACAAAACAAGATGCCCACGAACAACAACAACTACAGTCACAATCTCTTCCCCGCACCCGCACCCCTCTCCATGACAAATAAGTGTCCGTACTCTGGTCTGTACTGCAACAGCTGCGGGGTGTCGAAAATGGCAAGAACACTCGCGCGCATCTGCGCACTCGTTGACTCCTTATCCTGAGAGGGCGATGAACACATGTACACACATAGATGAACACATGTACAAACAGGCACATACAAGTACATATTACATGCGTGTTTGCGTGTGTGTATGTGTGTCAATACGGATCAGCGACAGGTGTGTGCCGTCAGACTGCATATGTGTGCGTGTGTGGATGCACAATGCTAGCTGCACATATTTGCACCTTGAGAATGGACCGCAATTCCATCAGCTGCTTCACGTGATCGTTCTGAAGATCCTGTGTATGCAGACACGCGTGTACCAAGCAGCACAAGGAAGGGACGGGTGAGGACATGAACGACAGAGATAGGATCACAGCCACCGCGGCAGCCGCCATCGCTCAACCGCTTCCACCGTCTGGCACGTGACAAGCAGCGTTGAAAACCACCACCACCATCGTCGTCGTCGTCTATCATCATCATATCATCATACCCTCAGTTCCGTGCTCTGTGCTTCGAGGCGACCAAGGTGTTGCATGAGGTTTCGCTTTTCCTCTGCAAACGCCTGTCGCTCGTCAAACGCTTCACTTCGCAGCGCTTCCGCCTGCTGCCGCTGTTGTGGGGAATGTGTGTGTGTGTGTGTGTGTGTGTGTGTGTGTGTGTGTGTGTGTGTGTGTGTGTGTGTGTGTGTGTGTGTGTGTGTGTGTGTGTGTGTGTGTGTGTGTGTGTGTGTGTGTGTTGAGGTTAGGTGGGGTGAGCTTCAACATCACCAATCAGTTTGAGGGCAGTGAGCGAGAGAATTGGGCAAACCACGCAACTGCCAACAACCAAACGGACACACGTGCGTGCATCACGAACACGAATGCAGTTCACACGGGCGACATACGAGGGAGGTGATGGCTCGCTCTCGTTCCATCAGCGCAGACTCCTGCGATCGAATCACGTCCTGTCGGAGAGGGCGATGTGTGAAGATGTAGATGTGTGCACAAGGACAACCATGCAACTGAATCAGTCATGTTCACAGTTGACGCGCAGGAAAAATTGCAACACACGCATACACACAGCACACACGCACACGCACATGTGCACGAAATCACACACAATGAGTGGCACAAACTCTTACACCATAACACAATCACACCTACACACATGCATACACACACCATCACACTCTCACACTCTCACACCTACACACATGCATACACACACCATCACACTCTCACACCTACACACCTGCACACATGCACATACACACAGCCCACCCACCCATGATTCCCTGAGCTGTCCCTCGAGCTTGGTGCGTTCCGTCGTCTGCTGCTGTCGGAACCGCTCAACGCGCGACTCAACACTCCCCGCCATCACGTGCACCTTCTTCATCACAGCGGCAAGTGCACCCAGCTGCGCCAGCACAGATTTCACGCCTCGCCTGCCGCTGCAATCGCGACGCCTTCGGCCACCGCCATAACTCGACACGTCACCATCACCATCACCATCACCATCGCCAGTGTCATCGTAATCGTCTTCGCTGCTCGTGTTTGCGGTGTTGCTCGAGGCATATCCACCACCACCAACGACGCTGCCGTGAGCACCATCGGCACCAGCAACACCGTCCAGACCTCTCCTCCCGTCCACACTCGCGTCGTTCGTGGACGTGGAGTCCCCATTCGTCGCAGCCATCATCTTCGTGTGCGCAACACCAAGCGAGCGCACAACAGCGGCTGCGAGATGCGTTGCTCGCATGACGGCCCCGTGCGTCTCTGTGTTGTCCCGCCGGCGGCGGCGGTGGGCATCGTCGAGCTGCTGCTGCAGACGCGACACGTGCGCAGACAGCGACGACAGCGCCTGTGGACATGTGTGTAAGGGGATGGGTGAATATGTGTGGGAATGCATGCGTGTGTGGGGGGGGGGTTGTGGGATGGGGTGAACATGTGTGTGAATGTAAATGTGTGTGTGGGGGTTTGTGGTCAAGTGAAATCATTGTTGCTGTCGTCGCAAGCAAATCCCACACAGTCGACGTGTGCATGTGGACGAGGGCCGGTTCTGCACCTCCTCTGGAGCGCGCGCTGCGTCCTGCGTTTCTTTGCTGTGCTCTTCAAGCGATGCGGAGATGTCGAGAGCAACGGCGAGTTGTCTGTGAAGCAGGCGGTGGAGGGATTGAGGGGAGGGGCGCAACATATGTGAGCAGGAATACAACACGGAAACTGCATCAATGCATGTTGTCACCGCATGGAGTCTACACAACCAACCCCGCATTGCGCAGACGCACACACACACACACACACACTGCACACCATACGCACACCCGCGCACACACGCACGCACATATCCAGTGCACATTGGTATGCAGCCGTTTGCAAGAGCCACGCCCACCCCACCCCACCCCACCCCCCAAGTCGAAACAACACGTTTTGAGCTGACTTCTTGAGCGCTTCTCCTGATTGCGTCAGAGCAACAACTTCCGATTCCTTCAACTCCAAATTCGCGCGAAGACTGCGTATCTCTTGTTGCATCTGTGACGTGGTGTGTGTGTGTGTGTGTGTGTGTGTGTGTGTGTGTGTGTGTGTGTGCGTGTGTGTGTGTGTGCACTGGGGGGGCATGAGTTGGTGGGCGCGGTATCGAACTGCTCGGCACAGCAGAGACGCAATCGCTGTGTTGACCCTCGCTTGACACCGTTGCACATGACACATCAAATATACACGCTCATCCATAGCTAATGCGTGCACGCACGTCATTGGCGGCCTGGCATTGTTCACGGTACTGCTCCTGTGTGATTGCTGGGCGAGCCTGCAGCGGCAACAACTGCCAGAGGAACGTTGTGGTGCAACACGAGAAGGGGGCCGCAGTGGAGTGTCACAAAATGGTTCGCGCAGCACGGCATCACACGTGAATGCATGTGAATGCATGATCACGTGTAGTACAACGCTCGTCGCGCGGCGGCGAGGACTTCCTTCCGCTCAACCCGCACACACACACACACCCGCACACACACACACACCCGCACACCCGCACACACACACACACACACACACACACACACACACACACACACACACACACACACACACACACACACACACACACACACACACACACACACACACCAGCGGAGCGTTTGCTGACACCTTGTTGATCTTCGAGTTGAGGGTGGCAACGGTGCGCGTGTGCTTGTCCTCCATATCCCGCAGTTGCGTTTCCAGTGCCGCAATTTTGTCTGTTGTGTCGAGGCGCAGATATGGAGCGACGGAACGATGGGACCCATGCATGTGAAGGAGCCATCATCTAGGGGTGAAGTTACGCTCATGATTGCGATCAAGTCACACGTGGCCACGAAGGCACACACACATACACATACAACAACAAACACCATCACCATCATCATGACGCCAACATGATACCAAAGCCACTGCCGTACCGTGTGCAGCGTTGAGTGCATTGAGCGCTGCCTGCTCGCCCTCACTGGCAAGATCTGCTCGACGCATCAACTCGCTGCTCCTGTGTGTGTGTGTGTGTGTGTGTGTGTGTGTGTGTGTGTGTGTGTGTGTGTGTGACAGTGTGTGTGTGTGTGTATGTCACTTCAGAATACGAATGTGTGGGACAATCCGGCATGTCTGATGCAAGCAACTTGCATAAACCACACGTGTGTGCGCGTACTTTGCCTTTGCGGTCGTCTCCGAGTGCTGGGTGACATCAAGCTGCTGCTGCACCTCTGACAGCTGCGCTTGCAGGGCTGTGATGAGCTGTGTCTGCCGTTTGTTCTCGTGCAGGAGTTGTGCTCGCTGTTTCCAACGCCGCAAGCATAGATGTGGCAGGTGCGTACATGCGACCACAATGCAGTGACAGTGTGACATGACGTTACATGAGGTGATGTCAGCAGTGTTGCAGAAAGAGAGACCCACACACGCTCACAAAACACACACACGCACACGCTCACACACTCACACCCACACACTCACACACACAAGCAAGCAAGTATCAGCCCTTGCCTGATCGTTGAGGATGCGGGTTCGCTTCTCAAGCTCGTGCATGTCGCCCTTGACACGCTGCACTGCTGCTGCCTTGCTTTTCTTCGCGTTCTTCAGCTCTTCGCTCAGACGGGCACACTGTCGGGCACACAATAGCACACGCACGCAGATGTACACGCGCATACAAGGAAGAGAAACGGGCATGAGGATGTATCGACATGGCAACCAGCAATGCAGCAAACATGTATATGCATGTCTGGGTGGCTGTACCTCGCTTTGGACCGAAACAAGTTGCGACTCTGCGTGCTCTGCTCTGATGCATTGTTGCGACTGCACAGAAAGATGTGGTGATGGCACATAGGATGGTGTGTGAGGAACGAGTCAAGAACTGGCAGCAGAACACCGATGTGTGGCAGGAAGGACATGTTTGTGGTGCACGTCACATGAAGATGCAATGCCTGCTGCACGTGCGCAAAGACGTGGGTGCAAAGCAGCACAGCGTGGCATCTTGGGTACGCACCAGGTGCATGATTTCCCTGTTGGCTTTGGCCAGGTCGCACTCCAGCCGCTGACACTTGGCCTCACGCTCCTCACTGATAGCGCGCTGCCTTGCAACCTCTGCCAAAGTGTAGTGATGGTGTGTGGGGTGGAGGGAAATAAGTCGAATGAGTGAGTTGAGTGCAAATGCAGGGAGTGTGTCATGTGTGCAACAACCATGGTAGGCACACGCCATTCCAACGACAATTTCATCCCCTCCTCTCACCAGCTTCGAGTGTTTGGCGCGTGTGTCGAAACTGAGCTAGATCAGCCGCCCTGTGTGCAGGCGTGTGCAGGCGTGTGTGTGTGTGTGTGTGTGTGTGTGTGTGTGTGTGTGTGTGTGTGTGTGTGTTGTGCGGGTAGACGGATGAGCGGTGACAAGAACAACAACACCAACACACTCCGGGACTATGGATGTTATCAACGCTTCAATTCACGTCGGCGTGGAAGAGGGTGCGTGTGTGTGTGTGTGTGTGCGTGCGCGTGTGTGGCCACGAAGATGGATGGCAACTGGTGCACTGCACGTTATGGCCAGCAAGCCCATTATCTGTTGGAACAAAGGAAAGGTGACAGCTGGATTGATTGACTTGACGTGTTGGTGGCGGTGGTGCGCAGTGCTTGCAGTGCAGTGGTTGAGTTGTGAGCTAGATCGAGTGCTGGTCTCTGGGTCTCTTGTTGTGGATTGAGAGGATTGAGGATAGAGGGTGTGTGGTGCTGTCCTTGCTGTGCTTGCTGTGCTTGCTGTTTGGCTGTTTGAGATGTTCCGGGCACCAGTCACCAATTCCCCTGATCCCCTGCCCCCGCGCCTCTCATTCTCACCGTTGCTGGGAGAGCTGCGACAGCTCGAGCAGGATGGGGTCGTCCTCGTGCTGCTGGTCCTCATCCTCGTGCACTTGGTGGTGGCCAGCGGTGACACCAAGGGCGGCGGTTCTGCTGGCGAGGGCGCTGCCGCTGCCGCCACCGCTGCCGCTGCCGCTGCTGCTCGCATTCATCCTCTCCTACCTATCTATCTGTCTTCTCTCCTGTCTTTGCTTCTAAGTTCGCTTCGATGCTTCGACGTTGTGCTGTTGGCTTGTTGTGATGTGTACGCGCTTACGTGTGAGTAGGTGTGTGGATGACTGGATGAGCAGAGGCGGATCGTTCAGTGGTTCAAAGTGGCTCGGCTGTTGCTTCGTGTCCTTGTTTGTGTGCTCTCTGTTGCGCTGTCACGCTGTTGTGCCTCTGTCTCGTCTTGTGGTGTGGTGAGTGCTTGAGTGACAGGAGCGCAGAGTGAAACTACGCACTGCCTGTCTCTGTTGCTTGCTGCTGTGCTGCTTGGGGTGAGGGGGTGGCTTGTTGTGCAGCACGAGAGAGAAGACGTTGCTGTGTGTTGTGGTGTTGTGTTGTTGTTGTTGGGGCGGGGTGTATTTTGTATGAGGCAAAATTTCGTGCAGAAGCAATTGAGATGGCCGTGTGGCCCAATTGGATAAGGCGCCTGACTACGGATCAGGAGATTCGGGGTTCGAGTCCCTGCATGGTCACATCTTTTTTTTCTTTTGCTTTTTTTTTCCCATGTTCCGTTGCTCCTCTGTTTTCTTTTCCTCGCTCGCTGCTCTGCTTTCCTTCTTTCCTTGCTTCACTTCTTGTCTGACAAAGCACTTGCCGGTCGCGGCTTGCTGCTCACATTCCACACTCCACACTCCCCACTCACGCGCTCATGAACACTCAACACTCTTGAAGGTCGCATGCACTCGTTCGCATCACAGCAGTGTCACACCCTCTCTCCTTCTCTCTCTCTTGCTCTGCAAACACTCCACAACGAATACGCAACGAACACGCAACTGCACAGTACACACACCTTACCTGACTGCAAACAAGCAACTGCTGCAAGCTACTGCAAATAAGCAGCCATGCCGTCAAAGGCGCCCTCCAACACACAGAGTCCACAAAGGCACAAGGAAAGACTGTTCATGATGAGTGTTGATCTGATCTTCCATGCATGGTTTCATCACTTTCGATTCCTTACTCTTCTGAACATACTTCGACTACCGTGCCTACCACCACCACCACTACCACAACAATAGAAGCAACAACAATAGAAGCAACAACAAAAGCAACAACAACAACAACAACAACAACAACAACAACAACAACAACAACAACAACAACAACAACAACAACAACAACAACAACAACAACAACAACAACAACAACAACAACAACAACAACAACAACAACAACAACAAGAGAAACAAGGCATGCGAGCAGCAACACAGGGGCAAACCCAAAGAACATCACAGCCGCGCAAACTGCACCAATCAAACACATCAAAACCCTTCCTTCCAACACGCTATGCACGCGCACACACACACACACACACACACACACACACACACACACACGTAGGCGTCAGATGACTAGATGGTTGTATCTGGGGATGTCTTGAGCAAGTCGTGCAGTTTTGCACGGATGGACATGTCAGCCAGACGGCCCCGCCGCGCTTCCTGCTCCTCATCAGCCAGTTGGCGGTAGTCCTCGAGCGTCGCCTGTGCCTGCGCCTGCACGCTCTCCACCACCTTGGCCGAGAATGACATGGCCAGCATGCAGCGCTCGAGCTGTTCACGCGCACGTGCCAGCTCGTCGCGGGCAGCGTCCAGGTCCTGCTGCAGTTGCGCCGTCGACTGCACACTTGATGAGGAGGCAGCGACAACAGCAGCGCTCTGCGTTGCTTGCCCTCCCTGCTGTTGCTCGTTGCTGTCTTGCTGTTGGGCGGCAGCCAAGTCAATGTCAATGACGCCAGCAGACGACACGTGGACGGCAACACAGGGTGCCCGAATCCGCTTGCGCGACTCTGCAACGATGTTGGCACGTGCCGCCTTTGCAAACAGCGGCAGCCGCTGCAGGTAGTCCCCATCAAGCACCGTCAGGTCGAGGTTGGACAGGAGAAGACTGATTTCAGGGCCGCATGTGGAGGGCGGGAAGGCGTCAAGCGGGTCGGCATCCGCGTTGTTCAGCACCTCTGCAATGTTCTGCAGCGGCACCTGGTCAAGCGTTGCCATCAGCGAACGCACGCGCGCCGTCACCGTGACGGGTGGGATATCTGGCTCGGGGATGAACTCAAGCACCTCCCCGCTCGTCAGCTCAGGTGGAGAGGGCAGGGTTACCACCTCCTGGCTGGCGCTGGTGAAGACAGACGCGTACGACGAGGCAAGGAAGGCGTCCACGTCGTCGAGAATGTGCGCCTCGTGCTGGCTGTCGCCCTCGCCAGTCCAAAACTCGGCCTGCTGCCAGCTGTGCTGGTCGATGCGTTCTGTGATGGCAAAGTCCTCCGAGCCAACGAACGACCGATCATCGTCGCTGGCGATGGACGTGGTGTCCGAATCGTAGTCCTCGTCCACAGCGCTCGCCTCCTCCGCAGCCGTTGTTGCCCGCCTGTTGCTGCCCGCGCTCTTCGTCTCCGCGTCCATCATCTCCATCGCCTTCTTCAGCTGCTGCGGGCTCACGCTCGTGCCACGCCGCACGCTCCCCGACCACGAGCGGGCGAGGTGGTGCTGTGCGCGCCGCGCTTGCTCGTATCGCTCCTGGAACGTATCGTACTGCAGGCACCGCTCTTTGCCGGAGACAAGGGGAATGTGCACTCGGCACAGCACCTGCGGCTCAACAATGTGCTCAATGTCGAGCGTGGTCGCGTCAATGGCGCCGGCTGGGTGGGGCGTGTTGTCGCGGACAACCTGTCCACTCGGGCTGCTCAGGTTTTGCGTCAGGATGAGTTCCTGCACGGCAGCGCGGGCAAGCTGGTGGTCCTTGTGCTCTGTCAGCGACAACTGCGTGTCGTACGCACAGGCGTGGATCAAGTCATCGCGCCCGTTGTTCACAGCAAAGGTCACCGCCCGCACCATCACAAACAAATGGCTCGGCTTCTCATCGTCATCGTCATCGTCATCACGACCGCCATCGCCATCATCACGACCGCCATCGCCGTCGTCCTTGTCGTTCGTCTTGAACTTCTTCAAACCCTCTGTGATCACGTGGAACGGCAGCGCTGTGACGATGTTGAACATGTTCATGATGTACACATAAAGCTCGTGCGTTAAGTGCACATACAGCTGGTCCGCAATCTCCAGCAGCAGGTAGCTTGCCGTATCGTCCTCGCGTGTGCGCACGATAATGGACGTGTGGTTCAGCACCCGCGCCTTCTCGGAACAGCGGCCATCCTTGCTCTCGTTCACAACAGCAGTCAGACCATCCACCGTGATGTACATTCCTGCTGCCGCATCCATGTCGCGTTCGTCGCCATCACCACTGTCGCCATCGCCGCCGCCATCCCGCCCGCTCAGATCAACACCTTCGTAGTCGGGGTTGGTGTTGCGCAGCACAGGGTCCTGCACCAGGCCAGCAATTTCCGTGACGGGCGGGAGGAACTGTGTTCCACCTTCCGATTCGGGAAAGGCGTGCGCGCGCCTGTATAGCCAGCCGTTGTAGAAGTGTGACGTGCGCAGCAGGGTGTTGGCGTTCTTGCACGCGGTCGGGGTGTTGGTGAGCGTGACAGAGTCGATGGTTGCTGTGAGGAAGATGCTGCGATCGGGCTCCTTCATGGTGGCGAGAACAGGCGGAAGCTGCACCTCGAGGTTACGGCACTGCACCATCAGTGACGCCGGCAGCGTGCTGGCTCGACTCTCGCTGTCACCGCCATCATCATCATCGCCGTCATGACCCCCAGCTGTTGGGGCTGAGGTGCCCCCCTTCTTGCCTGCTGTTGCTGTTGCTGCTTTCGCGGATGCTGTCTTTGCCGTTGCGGGGCTGAGCACGGGATCAAGAGACTCCACGAGGAAGCGGCCAACCTCAAACCCAGCAGCAATGTCCGCTGTCACCTTCATGTTGCACACCTGCACGAAGCGCTGGGCGGGTGGCAGGCGGAAGTCGGGGTGTGGTTCGCCAATCAGCAGACGTGCGGCTGCTGGGGGCTCCGAGAAGGACGCAAGCGCAATCATGATCATTGGCTGGGCGCTGCCTTCCTCTGTTGGCTGCAGGAGAATCACGCGCGGTCGCGGACCAGCCGACGCCGCAGCTGATGATGATGATGATGATGATGATGATGATGATGAGACGCGCTTGAGTGGGGATGCGTCGACCACCATAAGAAGGCGACGGACCATGAGCGATGTTGATGACACGCGGACGTGGTCCAGGTTGTCGTAGATGTCCGCTGGCGTGAGGTGCTCGGCCCACGTCGTGTGCGCCTGCCAGAACGAGTCGAGGGCTTCCGTGTGTGGCACGCGCGCACCAAAGGCGTGCTTGTAGTAGTGGTGTAGGACAATGTTGTTGACGGTGACCGTCATGAGGAGGTGGCGGTGCTGGTTCGCTTTGAGCAAGGCGGCCTGTTCTTCCGGTGTTCCCTCCAGCTTTGAGAGCCGCAGCAACACCTTTTCCACGTGCACGTGCAAGCTGTTGACCTTCTCTGGCAGCAAGTCGTTGAAGCTTTTGTACAGGACAAATCCTCCGGCACTGCCGCTGCTGGCCTTGCGCAACGCCTTCTTCTTCTGAAGACGCTTCTTCCTGTGCTTTCGCCACTGTTTGATCTTTCGCAACCGGTCATTCTTCTTCTTTTTCTTCTTGTTTGCTGTCTTGTCATCACCATCATCACCACCATCACCTTCCTCGTCTTCGTCCGGAATCCCTTCCATCACATCCGCCCCATCGTCACCACCATCACCATCCTCATCGTCGTCGTCGTCACCGTCATCGTCAACGATCTTCTGCTTGTGGATGTGGTCAAACCACTGTTCGAGCAGTGCCGGCATGGTGGAGCCAATGCTCACAAGAAACGCCTCCAAGCACCGCAGCTGTCCGCGCGTCAGCGTCAGGTGAAGCGTGTTCAACAGGAATTGCAGATGGATGGACGAGATCTGTGTTGGAGTTTGGGGCAGGGGGGGGGGAGTTGTGAAGGGAAATGTGAGTAAATGGGCAGATGATGCATAAGAATAGGGGTGTGAACATGTGGATGGGTGTGCATGGGCAATGGGCATAGGGAGTGCAGGCTGTAGTTGTGTCGGGGAGGGGAGAGGAGAGGGCGTGGATACAAATTTGCGATCCGTGTGTGTGTGTGTGTGTGTGTGTGTGTGTGTGTGTGTGTGTGTGTGTGTGTGTGTGTGTGTGTGTAGCGTCGACAAGTCACACGTCTGGCAGCACGGTGGGGTTGTGTTCGGCTGCTCACCGTGGCGGTGTCTGTGATTGGCTTGTCAATGGCGACGCGGAGTGTTGGCAGATCGAGCCGGAAGGTGAACGGCTCCAGCGTCTTCTGCAGAGACGACGGCGGTGATAGTGGTGGTGGGAGATGGTGGATGATGGTGAGGAGGGGGAGAGATGAGGTGAGTGACCGCGCACAAACATGCATGCGCACAGTGACACAGACAGTCGCAGACACGCGTGTGCACAGAGCAAGGACGAACGTCAGCGGAGATCATTGCGAGCTTGATCTGGATGTTTTCGATGGTGGCCTGCTTGAACAAGTGGATGAGGCCGGACGCCTTGTCCATGATACGCGTCTCCTTCAGTGACGAGGGCGACTATACAGCAAAGGCGAACCAGAAACAGGGCACACAGGACATGGCGATACAACACGAATTGTCAGCAGGGCGCGGGAGTCATCACAGTGTTGCACACAGACACACAGACACACAGACACACACAAACAAACAAACAAACACACACACACACCTTCCAGTAGGGTGTTGGACTTTCAAGGACGAATCCATCGAGTCGCAGCTCCGCTGTGAAATCGGGGCCTTTCAGCTCAACATTCACACAGTCCACAGTGACCTTCACCCCATCGATGATCTGCGAGGGAGAAAGATGTGGTGGTCAAGCATAGATGTTGTGTGAAAGGATGAAAACGGTGAAAAAAAAGCGAGGTAAACAGCGTGAAGCAGCACGCAACTGTGTGTGTGTGTGTGTATGTGTGTGTGTGTGTCTGTCAAGCCTGCCTGTCAAGCCTGCCTGTCAAGCCTGCCAGTTAACTCTGCCAGACAAGCTTGTTTGTTTTCGTGCGTGCGTGTCAGCCCTCAACAGCTGTGTGCATTGTTTCATGGTGACCACGTACCGAGTCAATGAGGCCGTACTTGCCGCCAATGCCAAACTTTGGGTCCTGCTCAGACTTGCTGGAGGACTTGGACTTGCTTTCTTGCTTCTTCTGCGGCTTGGGATCGGGCAAGTGCGTGCGAGTTGGATCATACACGACAACGAGGTTGATCTTCGAGATCATGACCTTGACTGGTTTCTTCTTCAGCTTGGTCCATGGGATCTTGAGCCCGAAACTGTCGCAGCTCACCGTCTCCACGATGAGCCACGGCGGGAGTGCGTCCTGGATCAGCGCCCTGTTCAACTCTGTTCAGCAAGTAATTCCCAACATGTGTGAGAGGGTGCCAACACAGTGGGTGCATGCAGGTGCACATGCGTTGCTGTGCTGTGCTGTGGTTGGATGTGGCATCTTTGTAGCAGTGGCACAAGCGAACCCACTGGCCGGATCCCATACACAACACACGCAAATACACAACACAAACACACGCACACACGCACGCAAACACACACACACACACACACGCACAGCACGCACAGCACAATGCAACACAAGCGAACGCACTGATATCACGGAGACCGCCTTTGCCCTTGAGAAACGACAAGGAAAAGTCGTCTGCCGTCATGTCCTCAAACAGCGGTGCCAGCTTCTTTGCCAGCGTCTTCTTGATCAAGGACGTCATGATTGTCTGTGGGTGGCTTGCTTGTTTGCTTGTTGGGTGAGGTGTGGGCGCGCTGATTTGGATGTGGTTGTGGAGAAGTGGCGAAAGATTTTCGTACATTTTCGGGGGATCGCGGAGGATGATGACCTTCTTGGCTGTCCTGTTGTTGTTGCTGTTGGTGGTGGTGTGTGCGAGCAGCACCACTGGAAGCGATGACGGAGGAGCTGGGGAGGAAACCGTGTTTGAGCTCACACCAGAGACTGCGACACCATCAAGAGTGGAAGAACTCGTCCACCAAGGGATTCCATTCGTCATTCGAGGTGTGGGTTTGTGTGCTGGTTTGTTTTGTTTGTGTTTGCATGTGTTGTATCATTTATCCCTTCATTTCAGTGACAGAACTCATTTGGCACGTTGCTTATACTGTGATACGTCAGGTGAGGCCTCCACTTGGCCAGCTGTAGGGAAATGGAACCTTGCGTGGCTGAAAGCCAAGTTTGGAAGACAGGTTCGCGCGCGTGTGTGTGTGTGTATGCGTGCGTGTGTGTGTGTATGCGTGCGTGTGCGTGTGTGTGTGTGCATGCGCGTGTGCGCGTGCTTGCGTGTGCGTGTGTGTGTGTGTGCATATGCGCGTGTGTGCATATGCGCGTGTGCGTGCGTACGTTTGCTTCCGACATATGAGCGAGGGCGCAGGGACAGCGTGGTGTTGGTAAGCGCGCTCTCATCAAAAGTGGACCGTCGCACGCGTCGATACAGGTGAAGAACCGGCACCCAGATCGAGGGGAGGCGCTGTTCGACGGGGATGGGACATTCGCTGGCTACTTTGACGTGAGCGACGAGGAGTGGGAGGCGTTCCTTGAGGCCTTTGAGGCCGAGGACGCGGGCCAGCCCAACATCGCCTGGCAGGTGAGTCTGCGACTGACGAGTGATACAAAGCGGTCATGGCGTTTGGGAGGAGAAGGCTTGGAATTGCATGGCATGCGTTCAAGCAAGGGGAGAAAAGGGCCATTGCCACTGCATGCCTAGCAAGACAGGAAGCCTGACAGAGACATCACACAACAACACAACAACACCATGTTCCGTGTGTTGGTGTCACTGCGATGCTTTTCAGTGCCGCAATGCATCCGCGTCGGAGCAGCTGCGTGAAGACTACAAGCTGCCGCGCCCACTCGCTGGTCTTGGCCAGGATGCGGGCGACTATGTGAGCGAGCACGGGGCACGGGAAACGCTGTTTTTCGCACTGGAGAAAGGGGAGGGGCGCGAGCCTCATATTGACTACAGCTGCAACAGCGCGTGGAGTGCACAGATCCAGGGCGAAAAGGAATGGAGATTATGGCCACCTGACCACTGCCAGAGTAAGTATCCTAGTCCGTCGCACGCGCACCCGATGTACTCTTGTCTATGAGCAGCCGCTGTACAATTTGCGCTTCCTGTTCTCGGTGTGCTTGTTGTTTCTGCGCCTGCATCTGTCACACAACTCATCCTTTTCTCCCTGATCCCTTCACTTTGCTGCCCCCTTCACCAACACCACCAACACCACCAACGTCCAACGTCCAACGTCCAACCAACCCACCAGATCATTTGTTTACGGAGGGCCAGGCGGAGGATGCGCCCGCGTGCACGCGGGCGCAGCCATTGCGGGTTGTGCTACGGCCTGGCGATGTGCTGTTCTGGTACCCCGGCTGGATGCACGCCACACGGGCAATTGCTGCGCCAAGCCTTGGCCTCTCGCGCGAGTTCTTCACGCCGCTGCCGCGCGTCATGCTGGCAGAGCACGATGCGATCTACAGAGCGCACAGCGCCGCGCGCGCCAGCTACACCCGCTGCTTCAAGGTGCATGTGTTTGTGTGTGTCTTGTGTGTCTTGTGTGTGTGTGTGTGCGTGTTTGTGCGTACGTGTCGCTGTGCCTATGTGCTTGTGTGAGTGTTCTTTGGAGGCGACGGTGTATGGAGAGCGATAATCCTGCGACATACACTCACACCCATGCTCATGTAATGATCCACTGCCACAGTTGTGGCACGATGCAAGCGGCAAGTACGCTGGCGAACAGGCGAGCGAGAATGACAGGAAAGGACACAACTAGCGTACATGCATGACACGTATGCATGCGTTCATGTGTACGTGTTCATGTGTGAGTGAATGTTGCATATTTGCTCTTGGCTCAGGACAATGTGGACGGTTACGTTTAATGTATTGGTTTTGGGGGTTGGGGTTGGAGGGCAACATTAAACAACTGCCACGATTGTATCATGCATTCAGGGCGCGCGTCAGGCGCTGCGTGAACGACGCAAAGGAAAACCTGGCGACCCGTGTGAGCGTGCATGTGAGCGCGTGTGTGTGTGTGCGTGAGAGTGAATGTGTGTGTGTGTGTGTGTGTGTGTGTGTGTGTGTGTGAGCGCGTGTGCGTGCGTGTGTGTGTGTGTGTGTGTGTGTGTGTGTGTGTGTGTGTGTGAATGTGAGCGCGTGTGCGTGTGTGTGTGAATGTGAAGAGAGATAAAGAGAGATCCATTAGTATGCGGCAAAGCCAACCCCTCGATCGAGACATCAGAGCAGCAGCAGCAGCAACAAGCGTACTTGCTGACGACGTGCTGCTTGCAGTTGCTGGAGAGCTGGCGCACAAACGATTCATCCAGCATCTTCAGCATCGCCTGTGTGCATGCGTGCACATGTGTGTGCGCATGTGTGCATCGCATAAACGGGTGCAAACATGTTTCAGTCGACGGCAAGAGTGCGAAGGCTTCCAGGGGGGGGGGGACGCGAATGGTAGTGGGAGACATGAAGTTGCACCACACACACACACACACACACACACACACACACACACACACACACACACACACACACACACACACACACACACACACACACACACACACACACACACACGTGTCACCTTTCCAAACTCGGCGCTCGTCTGCTGGCAGAGGATTCCGGTGCTGTCCTTCGGCTCGTGTGTCGATGCAGACACAACCGTTTCAACAGGCCCTCCAGAGTTGACCTGCAGCGCGCAAAGCAATGATTGCATGTCGTCATGTTGGCGTGATGGCAGTGGTGATGAGTCGCTGTGATCTTTGCGACCTTGAATAAACCACAACAACACACACCAAGCAACAGCAAGCTTGAAGCTCTCTCTATCTATCTATCTGTCTGTCTGTCTCTCTGTCTGTCTGTCTGTCTCTCTCTCTCTCTCTCGCACACGTACACACACACACACATACACACGCACACACACACACATGTGCACCCGTGCGTTCAGGACAAACGGACCGCAATGACAGGTCGGCCCATGTACATGGCCTCGAGCGGCGTGATGCCAAAGTGCTCCCTGTCTGGCGTGTACACCAGACACGTGCACCGCAGCAGCAGCTGAACTTTGTCTGCGTCACTGAGTGTGCGTGTGTGGTGTGTTGTGTGTGTGTGGTGTGTGAGCGTTGTTTGAGCTTTGAGACACATGCGGGCACGCAAGTTTTACATCCGCGGACAGGCAAGCAAGCAAACACACACACACACGTACATGCATACAGACGCACACGCACACACATGTGCTCACGACAGCACGAAGGCCAACCTGAACGAGCGAATGAACGTGACGTGGTCTTGGATGTCGAGTGTTGTCGCCCGCGCCTTCAACTCGTCAAAGTAGGCCACGTTCTCCTGCAGGCGTGGATCATACCTGACAATTGGGTGGGGCGTGAGGTGGTGGGGCGGGAAGCACGAGGTGCATGGAAACCGGGTTCACTGGGCGAGCAAACAACCACGTTGACAGATACGCACGCGCACACGCACGCGCACACGTGTGCACGCACCCGCCAGCGAGCACGAGGTGCACGTCGTTCCATTCGCGTGCGCGGTCCGCACTCCTAAGTTCGTCCCTGAGCGCTGCCAGTGCATCGAGCGCAAGCGACAGGTTTTTCTTCCGCTCATAGCGGTTGATGGACAGAAACACGCGTGGGCGCATCGTGCCTGCAAGCTTGTTGGCGGCAGATGTGGAGAAGGACTGCCCACGGGAGGCATGGACCGGGTGGTTGAAGGTGTGGTAACATGAACAGCTTGGCTGGTGAATGGGCAGGAGCATACGAGGTTCTGCGTCACGCACACACAGACACACACAGACACACACAGACACACACAGACACACACCCACACACAGACACACACCCACACACAAACACACACACACACACACACACACACACACACACACACACACCCAGAAACACACATGCACGGACTTGGCCGTCGAAGGAGGAGAAGTTGAGGCTTGGGTAGACAACAAGCGGGTCGCGGGAGCGGAGAGAGGTGAAGGTCTGGAAGAAGGTCTGGCGCGTAAACATGCTGTTCACCTGTCGTTGACGTCACAGCAACGGCAGTCAGCACAAGCAAAGGGATGGACGGGGGGGGGCAGCACGGGGAATTGGATGAGCATCGAGGTGATCAGAGCAAAGACAGCTGGACAGACAGAAAACTGCGTGAAATGCAGTCACACCACCCACACACACCCACACACCCACACTCACACACTCACACACACACACACACACACACACGCACACACACACACACACACGCACACACACATACATGGCAGTACCATGATGACATCCGCCATGCCGGTTGTCGTCTCCTCGACATAGTCGATGGGGGCGCGGTAGAGCCTCTTGAGAAGCGTCTTGCGTTGTGTCAGGAGCTGTGCACCGTGTACGAGTTGGCAATGGGCAGTGCGTCAGTGATATGTGATGATGTTTGAGCCAACGTGCAGCTTCGGTTTCATCACACGAACCACATGCACCACATGCACATGCGCGCACTGGTTTTGAGGTGTACCATGTCGGGGAAGTGGCAATAGAAGAGCACTTTCGCCTTTGCGATGAGGTGGACAAACGGAATGCACGCAGCCACCTGCACATGACAGAAGATGTGTTCAGCAATCACATGAGCAGTCGGTGTGTGTGCGTGCGTGTGTGTGTATGGCATGCAGAGGAGCACAAGACTGCGCAGAGCACAGTCAACGAATTGATCACACACACACACAGACACACACAGACACACACACACATACAGACAGATACACACACACACACACATACAAAGACTGACTTGGTCAACAAAAGCAACATCGTAGGATGTGGTGAGGGAGACGGCGATGACGAGGTAGATCATGCGGAGGTATGCGAAGAAGGCGTGCAAACGGCCCATGCAGGACCGCGGAAGCCTGTGCGTAAGTGTGTCATGAAGGAATCAGCTTTGCACGTGCTTGTCCGTGAAGCCACTACACACGCACTACAACGCACCAAGAAAGGTCAAAACTTGCAGGCATCGGTACACACCAATCGCCGCGCACGATGACGTCGATTGTGCCATCCGCAGTTTCCGAGAAACACCGATGGGGCTCATGGTGTGCCGTGGCAATGGTGACGTTGTGCCCACGGCTCTGATACGCCAGCGCTGAACACCCCCGCGTGCATGAAGCCAATGAAACCAGCTCAGTCGTGAAGGTGGGCCAGTGGTGTTGGGTACAGCACTGCACACGACCAGGCAAGCGCTAGGCGCGTCCCCACAGGCGCCAAGCCACGCACACATGCGTGCTCAAACAGACATGCAAACACATTCACACCTGCATCGACAACGAGACGCTCTGCGCCCCCGATGCCCAGATCAGGATGGAAGAACACAATCTTCTTCTTTTCCTTGTGCCTTTGTGGACTCTGTGTGTTGGAGGGCGCCTTTGACGGCATGGCTGCTTATTTGCAGTAGCTTGCAGCAGTTGCTTGTTTGCAGTCAGGTAAGGTGTGTGTACTGTGCAGTTGCGTGTTCGTTGCGTATTCGTTGTGGAGTGTTTGCAGAGCAAGAGAGAGAGAAGGAGAGAGGGTGTGACACTGCTGTGATGCGAACGAGTGCATGCGACCTTCAAGAGTGTTGAGTGTTCATGAGCGCGTGAGTGGGGAGTGTGGAGTGTGGAATGTGAGCAGCAAGCCGCGACCGGCAAGTGCTTTGTCAGACAAGAAGTGAAGCAAGGAAAGAAGGAAAGCAGAGCAGCGAGCGAGGAAAAGAAAACAGAGGAGCAACGGAACATGGGAAAAAAAAAGCAAAAGAAAAAAAAGATGTGACCATGCAGGGACTCGAACCCCGAATCTCCTGATCCGTAGTCAGGCGCCTTATCCAATTGGGCCACACGGCCATCTCAATTGCTTCTGCACGAAATTTTGCCTCATACAAAATACACCCCGCCCCAACAACAACAACACAACACCACAACACACAGCAACGTCTTCTCTCTCGTGCTGCACAACAAGCCAGTGCACAGCACCCCCTCACCCCAAGCAGCACAGCAGCAAGCAACAGAGACAGGCAGTGCGTAGTGTCACTCTGCGCTCCTGTCACTCAAGCACTCACCACACCACAAGACGAGACAGAGGCACAACAGCGTGACAGCGCAACAGAGAGCACACAAACAAGGACACGAAGCAACAGCCGAGCCACTTTGAACCACTGAACGATCCGCCTCTGCTCATCCAGTCATCCACACACCTACTCACACGTAAGCGCGTACACATCACAACAAGCCAACAGCACAACGTCGAAGCATCGAAGCGAACTTAGAAGCAAAGACAGGAGAGAAGACAGATAGATAGGTAGGAGAGGATGAATGCGAGCAGCAGCGGCAGCGGCAGCGGTGGCGGCAGCGGCAGCGCCCTCGCCAGCAGAACCGCCGCCCTTGGTGTCACCGCTGGCCACCACCAAGTGCACGAGGATGAGGACCAGCAGCACGAGGACGACCCCATCCTGCTCGAGCTGTCGCAGCTCTCCCAGCAACGGTGAGAATGAGAGGCGCGGGGGCAGGGGATCAGGGGAATTGGTGACTGGTGCCCGGAACATCTCAAACAGCCAAACAGCAAGCACAGCAAGCACAGCAAGGACAGCACCACACACCCTCTATCCTCAATCCTCTCAATCCACAACAAGAGACCCAGAGACCAGCACTCGATCTAGCTCACAACTCAACCACTGCACTGCAAGCACTGCGCACCACCGCCACCAACACGTCAAGTCAATCAATCCAGCTGTCACCTTTCCTTTGTTCCAGCAGATAATGGGCTTGCTGGCCATAACGTGCAGTGCACCAGTTGCCACCCATCTTCGTGGCCACACACGCGCGCACACACACACACACACACGCACCCTCTTCCACGCCGACGTGAATTGAAGCGTTGATAACATCCAAAGTCCCGTAGTGTGTTGGTGTTGTTGTTCTTGTCACCGCTCATCCGTCTACCCGCACAACACACACACACACACATGTGCACATGTACACCGCACACATATGCACACGCCTGCACACAGGGCGGCTGATCTGGCCCAGTTTCGATACACGCGCCAAACGCTCGAAGCTGGTGAGAGGAGGGGATGAAATTGTCGTTGGAATGGCGTGTGCACCAACAGAACACCGTCTCGGTAACATGGCAACGATGAAATGCACTGCAATGCACGCAACATCGCCCTCCTCCACCACAGCTCCAACTCATCATGCTGGATACAATTTGCTTGGTTGCCTCCACATTGATATTTGCGCTTCATGGTCGAGCATTTATTGGTGGCAGCGGCCTTGGTGTCAGGTCAGTGATCGAGACCACGATACCGGCAAGGAGTGAGGGACACTCACAACGCACAGAAACAGACGAACAGCAAGATACAGAGACACCAACAAAAAGAGGGTCAGCGGCGCAATTGTAACGGGTGCTCTTCAGCCATGAATGAGGGACAAGGTAACAACGCGCGTGCGAACCTCAGTAGCTCACTTGGACACGCGGAAAACAGACGCGCTCGAACGAACGAACGCGCGTGCATGCAGGCAAGCTGCCTCGCAGCCAAATAACAACAGTGCCGGATTTCTTCATCGGCGGTGGCAGAATTGAGCCTTAGTTGGAGATGGCGACCTGGGTCTTGGCCTTCTTGGCGCTCTGGGGTGGCTTGGGCACCTCGATGCGCAGCTGGCCGTTGTCGAACTTGGCCTTGACCTTGCTAGCGTCGACGCCCTCCGGGAGGCCGAAGCTGCGCTTGAAGGAGCCGTAGTGGCGCTCCACGCGGTGCACCTTGTCGTCCTTCTCCTCGTGCTTGCTCTTGCGCTCGCCGGAGACGGTGAGGACGTCGTTCTCCACCTCAATCTTGACGTCGTCCTTGGACATGCCGGGCGTGTCCATGGTGAAGATGTGGGCGTCCTTGCTCTCCACAATGTCGCAGGAGCCGAGCATGTTGAAGCGCTTCTGCTCCTCGCCACGGAAAGGGAACATGTCCCAGCTGTCGAAGAAGGGATCGCGGTACAGGGAAAGGCTCATCTTGGCGGTGGTGGCGGCTTGAGAGACTTGAGTGCCTGAGGGTACAAGGGTACTTACTGGTTGGCTTGGCTTGGCTTGGCTTGGCTTGGCTTCACTTGATGGGTCGATGAGAAAATGAACCACCTGCCACGATCGGCTTCACTTCAACCGGCGACACTGCGCGGACTTCTTCCTCTTGTTCCGTGGGTGGTGCAGAAGCAACATGGTGGTGGTTGTTGCCGATGTTTGATGCAGAAGCGACACCCGCAACGCCTTGATATGATGTGACATCCAGCAACATGAAGAAGTAACCAGAAACCAGAACACAACAGAAAGGTAATGCAAGCCCTTCGAATGAATGGCAAGTGCGAGCTGGCGAGGGAACGCACTGAAACAGTGCAGAAGCAACGTGCTGTCAATGTTGCCCTTTCCAATCTCAAACAACACACAGCCTACTCCCCATCAACAACACCTCGCTTGCAACGTCTCAACACTCAACAAACAAGCCACTGCTGCGCACTGGCTTTCTGTCAGCGAAATTGCTGGGAAGATTTCGTTGGTGATGCAATCTCACAACGGGGAAGAGGATCAAGCAAGAAGCAAGCAAGCAAGAAGGCGTTTGATTGGGGCACGAAGAAGAATGACGAATAAACGAACAGCAACGAGGCTGCGAGGAGGACTTAGCAGGAGCGCATGTTCGATGGACCGAAATGCGGCGAAGCAGGCGATGCACTGGATGACGTGTTTGCGTGCTGGCTTTGTTTCGAGGAGCATGGCTTCAAGCAAGGGGGAAGGAATACCAGGAGAGTGAGGCAGTTGACCGAGGTGACGAGGGTGTGGTGTGGATGCCTCGCTCAAAGGAAGATGTGGGTAGCGATGGAACTGTTTATGGAAGGAAGGGCATCGGTGCGAAGACAGGGGCGTGTGTATGGGATGGAAAAAGCAAGAGGCGCGTGAGGCGTTGTGAGGAGGAGTGTGCAGAGCACAAGCAGGGAATCGTGTATAACACACATCGCACACATCACAGCAAGAACGCAGAACGCAGAGAGAGAAGGAGGCAGTGACAGTGACGTGACAAGCAAAGAAGAGGAGGGAGGGGAAGCAGGGCAAAGCAAACGCCGTGCAGACTTGAAAAAGAGCACGCACACCAAGGTGCAGCCAACAAAAGGCAAGTGAGCACACAAGCAAGCAAGCAAACAGAACATGCAAGACATGCAGCTGCGCTGGTCAACCTGGAGCTGGAACACTGGAGTGATCCCTCCACCACCTCTTCCGCAATCATCGCTACACCCCCCCCCTCTCAATGACTCACTCATCGTCCCTCTGCAGCTCCTGCAGCTCGCGCAGGCGCAGCATCTCCACGATCGCGGCGCAGGACCGGCAGTTGCACCGCGTGGACGGCAGCATGGGCGGCTCCCCGCGCCGTGGCGTGACGGGCGTGTTGGGTGGCGCGCGCGTGCCTCCCCCAACCACCACCATGCCGCCCGTGTACTCGTGGCCGTCAATCTCAGTCCGGTTCCACACCTCGTGCAGGCGATTGGCATCACCATCGTCGCTGTTGTTGGTGCTTGGGGCGCGGTTACGGCGAACAATGGCGCGCACGGCAGAGCCGACAATGCGCAGGGCGCTGCTCACGCGCCGCACAATCGCCGAGCTGCGACGACGGCGCGGGCGGGGGCCAGCAGGAGCAGGTGCACCCGTTTCCTCGTCACGGCGGGTCACGGCAAGGAGATCCGTGTCTGTGACGCGGCAGGAGCGGCGGCCACCACCACGGGCAGCAGCGGGGCTGGACTCGGTGGCCGGGAGCGAGGGGCGGCGGCGGCGGCGCCTGGGCAAACGAAGCACGTTGTGCCAGGGGCCTGCAGGCATGCATTCATGCGAAGCAGCACAAGAGGAGGGGGAGAGTAATTGAGGGAGGGTGTGGAATGGATACATGCGTGCATGCATGCATGCAACAGCGAGAAGGCAGTAGCGGAATGAGACGTTGAATAAGCGATCGCGCACATGAATACATGCATACATGAGTGCCCAGCATGGGTGTGTGTGAGTGCGTCTGTGTGTATGTGTATGTGCAGATTCAGTGCGAAGTGCAGTGCATCATACGCATCCACATACACACACACACACACACACACACACACACACACACACACACACACACACACACACACACACACACACACGAAAACAGCCCCACCTTGCTGGCGGTCCTGGGTGCGTGCATGTACTCCTTTGGCTGGCTTGTCGCTGCGCGGGGCAATGCTGACACCCGTGCTCACCGTCAGGTCGACGGGGAAGGAGGAGGAGAGCTCTGGTGCAGGTGCAGGTGGTGATGGTGTGGGTATGGCCGTTGTGATGATGATGGTGGGTGGCGAGGATGGATATGATGGGCACAACAAAGCGAGATTGTGATCGCAAGCAAGCAAGGATGTGTGAATGAAGGAAGAGAAGAAAGTGGTGCAAATGTACAGAGCACACACGCACACGCACGCATGCAACGATGCACACACGCCAGCAAGCGCATGCACAGATGGCAACACACCGTCAACGGTGCAAGACATGCTTGGTTTGCTCGCTTCTTGGTGGAGATGGGAAGGGGTGAACGTGCCAGCAGGTGCGAGAGAGCGGTGTCAGATGTGTGGGTGTGCGGCAAGAGAAGAAAATGACCGTTGCGATGGGGAGGAAGAAGTAATACAGCAATGTAGCACGCCAGCCATACCCAAGCAGCCGCAGATAACGACAACAACACATAATAATAATATTTCGACAACACAAACAACGGCTGCGGCGCTGGCTTGCAAGCACAAAGAGAGTCAGAAGAGACGTGGGGGCGAGTGAAGGAGAATAGTCAAGTTGAGGACAGGGGGAGAGGAGGGCAGGAGAGGGGGAGAGAGGGAGAGAGAGAGAGAGAGAGAGAGAGAGAGAGAAGTGGCAATAGTGCAAGAGACAGACATGACAAACTTGAATTTGGCGGCTGAATGAGGCGTTAACGGTTGGGGCTGCGGCCGAAAGAAGGAAGAAGGAAGGAAGAAGAACGAGGAGACGAGAAGAAGGAAGGACGAACACGTGCATACGAACACGTGTACACATGGGCGTGCTTGCGCCTGTGCGCGTGTGGACAGCAAGTTATCGGCAGGAAGGCGGGCAACGTTGAAAGAACGATGAGGAAGGACGGGAAAAGTGTCACAGCAAAAGAGAAGAGCTGACAAACAGCACATCCAGTCATTGGTCAAATGACATTGGCGGGAATGGCGATGTGCATGTGCAGGGCCGCCACAAGTGCACCAGATGGGACAGCACGCATCACACGCATCATCGCCATGGATGCTGGTGCTGGTGGTGGGGGGAAGCGCAAATTGAGCAGGATGTCGGGGGATGTCTCACACCACACGTACACGAGCCCGCAAATTGCTCTGTGTGTGCATGTTTGTGTGATGCGAGTACGAGTGTGGTGTGAAATAGAAAGAAAGAAAGAAAGTGAGAAGCGGCAACCAAAGGAGAGCGTACAAGTGTGCTCGAAACAGACACACAATGTCTGAGGGACCACCGCCACCAAAACTATGGAATCCACAGCAGCATTGAGGAACCGCAAGTACACACACACAGACATGGACCGACAGGCACACACACACACACACACACACACACACACACACACAGACACAGACACACACACGCACAGACACACACACGTCGCAGCGACAACGTGCAAATCAGGGCTGGTTCGCATTCAGTCGTACCATGCACAGGGCGTGGTAGGTCGCGTCGGAAGCAAGTTTCCTGTCATTCATCCTCCACAGCCGTTCGTCTGTCCATCCGTCCGTCAGCACCCAGGTCCTTGAATGTGCTGAGAGTGCGGAGTGGCTGGTCCAAAAGTGCAACTTTGACAAATCATTGCGAACGCTGCCCAAATATGCAGAATTGACTGCAAGGGGCTGGAAAGATGTTTTTCCTCTGTTGGCCTCTGTTCTTGTGTGCGTGCGCTCCCCGCTTCCGCACCCCAAGCCAAGCCAAGCCAAGCCAAGCCACTGAACAACAAACCGAGGTCAGTGACGAGCCACGAGCAATGCTGGAACGGAACGGAACCAATGGTGCTTGTGCTGGTGATGCTGGCGGTGGAAAGAGAGAGAGAGAGGGGGAGAGAGGGAGGACGGAATGGCGAGCGTCCAATTGGTGGGGCCTGTCACGTTCACTGCTCCTCAGTCACCTCACATGGAACGAAACGTGGTTCACTGGTCTTGCTGCACAACGCTGAGGGTGGCCAGCCCTCTCACCACACAGGTGGTGGTGCATGCTGCGTTGCTGGGGTGTGAAGGAAGACGTGTGGTTGTAGTGGAGATTTCTGCTGCAGCGTCAGTGGGATTGTCTCACGTCAACGTGGACGAAGAAGAACAAGAAGAAGAAGAAGGAAAGAAGAACAAGAGGAAGGAAAGAAGCGAGTGGTGAGTGAGGGGAGAGGCGGAAGAAGCTGAGGAAGGAAGGAAGTGGAAGCAAGATTGTGTGGAGAAGCGGAAGGAGAATCACAACAACAGCCACAACAAGCAACAAGGCAAACAAACCTTTTGCTTCTTGTTGTTGGCTGCTTGAAGCGGTTACTGAAAAGTATAATAATCAACCTGCCACAAACGACAGCGAACAACAAAACAACAACCTTTGTCCTCCCCAACCAACCACCAAAGCTGCTGCTTGCTTGCTTGCTTGCTTGCTTGCTAGCTTGCTTGTGGCTGGGATTGTGTGAGCTGTGTCAGGTGTGTTGGTCGCTCACGGTCCCCCCCCACTGCCACTGCCGTTGCTGGTTGGTCGATTAAAGGTATACGCGTGTGTGCGTGTGTGTGGCGAAACAGCAGCGTGAGATGGTCACGCGTTCCACAGCCGCAGCCTTCGCGCTGTGGGCAGTTGCACTCGCGTTGGTCGTTGTGACTACTGTTGTTGAAGCCTCGAGCGAGAGATGCGAAGACAAGCTGTCCATTGCCATCGTTGGAAGCGGTGTCGGCGGCGCATTCACTGCGCACCACTTGCACAACGACCTCAACAAGCTGACGAATGGCGATGTAGTGATCGATGTGTTTGAACGGGAGAGTGGTGTTGGCGGTCGCCTGCAGAGCTTTGTCCACGACAACGCAAACAAGAGCCTCATTGAGATGGGTGGCTCCATCATCCACCGCAAGAATCAGTGAGTGTCTCTGAAATGCGCCTCGCTTGTTGTTTACATTGTGGTGGTACTCGGGTGACAGACTGTCCTATTTGATATTTCACCACTTTGTCAGCCTCACATTGTACTTGCCTTGGGTCACAGGTACATGTGGAACTTCACGGACACACTTGGCTTGACCGTTCAGCAGTCTGCGTATGGAGAGCACTCTGTTCTTGGTGTGTTTGATGGCGACAACATTATCTTCCAGACTTCCGAGTACGATGTGAGTGAGCCGATGTGCACCCACTTGCGTGGAGTGGCTGTGTGCGTGCCTTGTCGCTGCTTTGGCGTGGTCACCGAGTGCATGTGCGTGTGTGCTTGAGCGTTTGTGCTGTTTGTGCTGTTTGTGCTGTTTGTGCTGTTTGTGCTGTTTGTGCTGTTTGTGCTGTTTGTGCTGTTTGTGCTGTTGGTACTGTTGGCGCTGTTTGTGCTGCTTGTGCGCCGTGTGCGCCGTGTGCGCCGTGTGAGTTTGCCCTCTTGGTCTTTCTCCCCCCCTGTGCTGGGGAACAGATCGCGACCGTAACGCGACTGCGGTACATGGTCACTGCACGTTGACAGTGGGTGACGATCCTAAAGATGCTGCTGCGGTATGGGCTGAGTCCCTACCGTATGGACGGGGTGGTCAAGGAACTGCTGGACAAGTTTGATGGCATCTACGAAGCACAGCACCAACGTCCGTTGCTAGTCCGCAGTCGGGTGGGAGGGAAATAGGCTGGTGGTGCCCCGTGCTTTTGTGGGACTCGTGTGTTGTTGATGCACGGGCATGGGTCGTGGCTGTCTTCTCTTGCCATGACAAGACCGACTGTGAGTTGATGATCTTCCTCGCTGACGAACGACGTTCATCTTGGGTGTGATCAGGATTGGTGTTTGATACCGTGGATTCGCTGCTGTCACATGTTGGTCTCTACGATTTGACACAACAGGATCTCAGGTTTGCTTTGATTCGCACGCGTGACGTCGCAAGCAGCAGCGTTTTGTCTTGCGTGCACCACGTCCCGAAGTCATGCTCGCCAATGATCGTGAATCACACCACATCATGCATCTACGTGTATGTGTGTGCACATGTGCATGTGTGTGTGTGACTTCGTGCATGTGTGTGTGTGTGTGTGTGCTGCCAGGTCGTACCTTCGCGACCAGGGGATTGGCGATCTTCTTGCCGATGAGCTCGTCGTTGGAATCATGCGCACAAACTACGGCCAGGTGCAATGCAATGTGGTGTCATCGTGTGTCATGGCTCAATGTTTGTGACCAAGTGTGTTGTGCTTGTACAACACGCCAAACCCGCAGCCCCGTCATGCCCAATCGCCTCATACTTGTTGTTGTTGTTGCTGCTGCTGCTGCTATTGCGTATTCATGTGCTCATGTGTTCGTGTTTTCATGTGTGTGTGTGTTGATAAGGATCTGAACATGAATGCGTTTGGCGGTGCTGTCTCGCTTGCTGGCGCATCTGAACACCTGTGGGCCATCGAAGAGGGGAACAATCGAGTGCGTATCGCTTCCCAACGGCCGCGTGTGTGCGTGCGTGTGCGTGTGCGTGTGTGTACGTGTGCGTGTGTGTACGTGTGCGTGTGTGTGCGCGTATATCTGTGAATACATGTGTGTGTGTGTGTGCATGTGCGTGCCCTCTTTTTCTGGCCATACTCACCTGTATTTATGCTTATTGTGGGCGGCATGCTCGTCCTTTTCTGGCCAGATGTGTGCCCGGCTTCTGGACAATCCATCCACACACGTGCACTTGAATACGCACGTGGACCGCATCGTGACACAATCTGGCGGCAACCCAACCATCACAACCACAACCAACGAAGGAGGTGGGCGCCTTGTTCGTGTGCATGGATCTCATGTGATGCTCTCAAGTTGTTGTGTTCTGTGCTCTGTCGACAAACGTACCACCGCATAGTTATGCACGTGCACGTTGAAGACGTCACACAAGCATGCTCGCCTCTCGTACTCACAATTACACACACACACACCCATCTTGCATGCGTGTACGCACACAAACATACATGCACGCGCACATGTGCCATTGCGTGAAGCAGAGACGCACACGCGCGAGTACGATGCAGTTGTGATTGCGACACCACTGGAGACAGGGAGCATCGAGCTGAGCGAGGACATGGTGCGCTGATTTTGTGCGAGAGGTGAATTGCACTTGCACGCGAAGATTTCAAAACTACCACCACGCACACACTCACTCACATACACACACACACATACTCTCACTCACACATACACACACGCATCCTCTTGCCCTCTCTGGACAGCAATCGCGGGTTGCTGCGCGGAAGATGCACACGACTGTGGCGACGTTTGTTGAGGGAACATTGAACTCGTCATACTTTGGACTGCGCGAGGACCACCGCGTCCCAGCTGTCATTCTCACCGTCGAGAAGGACACCATCCCCATCAATTGCATCGGTACGAGCACGTGTGTTGTTTGTTTGTTGGTTGGCATGGTTGCGTTGGTGGTTGCGTTGTGGTGGGGTGTATTTCATTTGGGTGGCGGTGATGGAAGCGATCAGGTGAGACGAGTTGGGTTTGTGGTGTTTCATGTCATCGACCTCAGCATGTTCGTTCGTTTCCCATCTCTGCGGCCGTTCAGCGAATGTTGCGACAGACGAGAGGAAACAGAACAACGCTGGTCTCTTCAAGGTGATATTGAGCGCATCAGCACGATCGTCATTGGTGTCTCAGCTGTGACCTCTTTCCATGCCTCTATGGTTGCCATGGTTGCCATTGCACACAACAACAACAACATCATCATCATCATCATCAACAACAACAACAACAACAACAACAACAACAACAACAACAACAACAACAACTTCAACAACAACAACTTAAACAACAACAACTTAAACAACAACAACAACAACTTAAACAACAACAACCACCACCACATCAGATCTTTTCCCGCCGGCGCCTGGCCCGGGAGGAGCTGGATTTGTTTCTGCTTGACATCAAGGAGGACTCCATTCGTGAGGTGGACTGGAAGGCCTATCCGAAATTCGCCCCACCCGAGCAATTCACACCGTTTGTTCTCGGCGAAGGTGTGTGCAGCGTTGCAAGCGCGAGACGGCGGCGTGTGCGTGCATCGCTGTGTGAATGCATGGTTGTGTTGTTGTGTGGTGGCTTTTGTGGTTGCGCGTTTGTGCACTGACTTTGACACAGTTTATACATTGCGCTGTGCTCTGTCCGTGCCCCCTCCTTCCTGCTTTTTTTTTCTCACTCCCGTGCACGCGTATGCATGTGTTGTTATCATCCTATCACGCAGCGAGTAACACATCTCATCCTTGTTCGTGTTCATGTTTGTGACCACCACGGCCGACCACTGCTGTCACTGCGTGCGTGTATGCGCTCACGTGTCAGGCGTGTTTTATCCCAACGCCATTGAGAACTCGGCCTCTGCGATGGAAATGTCGGCCATCGCTGCAAAGAACGCAGCCCTGCTGGTGGAGAAGCACATGCGGCGCAAATGCTTGCAGGCAACCGACGAGGACGATGCTGAGAAAGAGGAAGAAATGGAAGAAGACCAAGCAGCAGCAGCAGCAGCAGCGACAGACGATAACACTGGCAATGGATCCGAGGTGACCAGTGGTGGCGATGGCACGGACAATGCTGGTGGTGCTGTTGATGGTGGCGATGATGGCGATGATGGCAATTATGGCGGTAGCACCAGATCTGATGATGAAGGAGCAGCAGCAGCCCCAGAGAGCCCCGAGACAGCGCACGACAATGACGACGACCACCACAACGACAACGACCAGCAGCAACATGACGAGACAGAGGAGCAGACGCGCGAGGACCGTGAAGTCAAGGGCAGCGAAGGTGATGATGATGATGCTCGTGGAGACGAGGATGGTGGTGAGGACGTGGAGGCGGACGCCGAAGACTCGAGCGGAGACGAAGACAGCACCGACAATGACGACAACGATGACAACAATGACAATCAAGATGACGGTCACCACCACCACCACGACGACGACCACCACGACCACCACCATCATCATCATCACCATCACCATCACCATGATCAGGACCATGGTGAAGAGCATCTGGTGCACGCTGGTAGGCGGCGGTACACAGCAGAGATGAACACGGACACCGACGCTGCTGTCGACGGCGATGACAACCAAGCTGGTGGTGATGGTGATGGTGGTGCATCGAGCCATCACGACATTCCCGTGATTCCGCAGCCAACGCAGCGCCGGCGGCCACTCAACTGATGCTCATGCATGTGCTTTTGTGTGTACGTATGTGTGTGTATGGGTGTGTACGTGTGTACGTGCGTGTATGCGTGTGTATGTGGTTTTGTGCATGCACGTGTGTGTGTGTGTGTTGCTGCGAATACATTTGTTGCGGACAATGATGAACTCGAGTTGACACGATGGAATGCATCGCTTTCGCGGAGAACAACAGCAGCAGCAATACTGGTGCACAAGCAGGAGAACGAAAGTCGATGAAACACAAAACAAGAATGCACATGCATGCAATTCATGCACATGGTGGAGGAGGGAGTGGTTGTTCATTAACGCACGTGCAGGAGGGGGGGGGGGCGAGCGTTGAAGATGAGCAAGATACGTACACGCAGGGGAAACATGGAGTGATGGGGATGGTGCGACACTGCTGATGCAGTGTGTGACAACGAACAAACAATACAAGGCCAACAAACAGCGACAGACATGGCTTGCGATAGTGTGATTGTGCGTGTGTGATTGTGCGTGATTACGCGCAGGAGCAGGACGCCATGTCGTCAATCTCCAAATCGGGACAGTACTGCAGAAATGCATGCAAGCAAATTAGGTTGGAGGTGGACGAAAGGAGGGGCGTGATGTGGCACGTGAGCTGATAAACAACCAAAAAAGGCACAGCGAGAGCAAGAACAGTGGCATGGGACGTGTGTGTTGGTACCGAGCGCATGGAGGAACTGATGCACAGGAACATCAGAGTTCACTTACAGTCGTTGAGAGTTCAACCAACAGCGGACCGTCGTCCTGTGGCGACAACCCTGTTGTTCGCACACGCATACAATAGAGAGACAGCACGACGGGTGGCTCGGTGAGGGATGTAAGTTTCAGACCCAAGTGGTCAAGCAATTGCGTGGGAGTGAGCTCGTTGTGTGGCACATTGCCTGCAAGCATCCGTACCAACGGCGATTACGTCCTCCTTTGTGATTCTTCGATCTGGCCGTGCGGACGCAGCTTCCAATGCAGCGAAAATGCGGTTGTTCATCTCAGCAAAAAACCTGCGAACGCACACACACACACACACAATCACGTCAGTGAACTGTAGTTCTGTGCGTGTGCGCGCGCACATGCGATAATATACACGCGCACACATGCGCGTGTGTGTACATCCTCAACCTGCCACCACACCAACACACAACACCACAACATTGCATCACCTGATGTAGCAGTCCTCCTGGCTGTAAAACTGCTTCTCCGAGTTCACGGAAATGTGCGGATCTGATGGCGACAGCATCAGTCTGCTCATGCACACGCGAAGCAAGGTGGTGGAGGTGGTAGTCGTGGTAGAGGGAGGGGGTGAAGGTGGTGGTGGTGAGTAGGAAGGCAAGGGAGGCGGTGGTGATCAGCTGGGCATTCGCGCACATTATGTGCATGGGTTTATGCCATGTGTGTGTGTGCGTGCGTGCGTGCGTGGGAGGCAACAGAGCCCTGTAGTGCAAGTACAAGTGCACGCACCGCTTGTAGCGGTCCTTGTCTGCTGCCGTGAGTTTGAGGAGCGAGCCGACATTCGCACCAGGCAGCATCTGGTACAGATTCGGGAGAAGACAGGTTGGTAGGGTGATGTAACGGTATTGTGATGGACAGATGGGGTGTGAAGAGAATCAAGAATGGTAATGGTCAGGCGGACGTGCAAAGACAGGCAGACGGAAAGACTGTGAAAACCTTCAAACACACATAATCGACAGCACACACACACACACACGTAGACACATAAACACATACGCACACACGCACACACATTAACACACACACACACACACACACACACACACACACACACACACACACACACACGAGCACAAATGTCACGGCACCTTGTCATCTGGAAACACAAACGCGTCAAAGAGGGAGGTCTTGAGCTCAAAGACCGTTTCCGTGACGCAGCAGATGTAGTTTGAGTGGGTTGACATCCACGGAATGTCCGAGAGATTTGCATACAGGAACGGGCGCGCTTGCGTGTGTGCAAACGACGCGATTGTGTGGGAGCCCAGGGCGCAGCACGCATACACTGCGCGTTGGTGGTGGTGAAGGCGATGGTGGTGATGACGATGGTGAGAAGGCATGTGGTGTCAATCTATGGTTCGCATGTACATTCGTGAGTGTGTGCATGTGAACGAGGCAGTGGCGGTGGGCAACTGCGTGCAGCAGCACCAGTTTGCGCGAGTGAGAGATCGTGTGTGCCAAGGTGCATGCTGCCTGCGCCCACCTTGCTGGCACTGCGGATCTACGGGCGGGGAAGTGAGAAACATCACACGCTTCTGCAGCAGAACCTGTGACAGTGACAAACAGATGAAATAGATGGATGGATGGATGGATGGGTGGATGGAGTGGGGTTGGTGGTTCGATAAGTGGGTGATGTATTGGTTGCTGTGTACTGCAATGAAGAGGAGGAGGAGGATGAAGAAGAAGACAAGCGCTATCTGATGCAAACTGCAACCAGCACTGCCACCACCAGCAGCAACCACAGCCGTCGTGACTGTTGAGCGCCGACCAGTTTCCAGAGGATCATGATTCGACGACCAAAGCGGCGGACGAGCTCAGACAGCGATCCTTCCTCGTGCCGCAACTGCAGGCCGTCGTGGTCACGGCGATGGTGGTGGTGATGATGGTGGTGGTGGTGGTGGTGAATATAAAGGGGAAGAAGCGACAGCGCAGATTACGCGGTGCCAACAGCGACTCACACATACAGAAGCAGCCAAACAGCCAAACAGCCATGCAGCCATGCACAAGACGTACGACGAGGATCTGGTTTGAGTGCTCGGCCTCGCGGACGACCGAGCGGTCAAGATTCCACACGGGCGAGCGCACCTCAACCACCCGCGCACCCGCACTACACGCACACATATGGGGACACATGCATGCACATGCGTACACAGGCACATGATGGTCATTGTGTGAGATGGCAGAAAGACAAGGAATGGAAAGCACGAACACACGTACACACACACAGACACACGTACACACACACACACACACACACAGACACACGTACACACACACACACACACACACACACACACAGACACACGTACACACACACACACACACACACACACACAACAACAACAACAACAACAACGCACGCTTGATCGTTTGTTGCTTCTGCTGCCTTTTGGTCCTCAAAGTACTGTTTGAGTTCGCTGTAGTCGTCATCGTCAGTCACGAGGTGTTTCTGCATCAGGGGGCACCACATGACATAAGCACCGTGTGGTTGTGAATTGTGAATGGGCACATCGCTGGCAAGCACCGCTGTGTGTTCTGCGCAACGACAGACACAAAGGCGCTCGGATAACCACACCCACACACACACACACACACACACACACACACACACACACACACACACACACACACACACACACACACACACACACACACACACACCTACCTGGCATTGATCCCTGAGGAAGCTGCGATGGCGATGAAGGAAATCCGGAGATGTGCAGACAACACCGACACTGCACGCGCGCAGCCCTCGGGCAGCCTGGGCATCTTTGATGGTCTTGAAGCAACTCACCATGTACATCCCTTCAGCCAAGAACCCATACCTGCAAAACCAGGTTATGGTGTGTGGGGGTGGCGCATTGTGGTGTGAAGTGTGTTGGATTCAGCGCGTGTGTAAAGGAACCACGATGCGCCAAGCGCAAGCATGAACACCACGAAGATGATGAGACACACTCAACAGCCATCCGTCTCCCCCTCGTTCCTCCTTTATCCCTCTGTGCACATGTGTGTGTGTGTGTGTGTGTGTGTGTGGGAAATCAACTCACGGAAAGTCTTCCAATACGGAGTGTGATCCCGATGGCATGGCCTGATACAAACGCACAGGACCGGACACCAAACAAGCGATCACCACACGATGTTGATTATCAGCAAGCAAGCAATGATGAGCCAACCCATCCACACACACACACATACATACACACGTGCACACACACACATACACACGTGCACACACACATGCGCACAGCGACAGCGACAACATCATCATCAACAGCAGCAGCGGCGTACCTTGAACTCCACGAAGGGCAGCTCAACGTCGTTTGGATATTGCCATCTCAGGGAGTTGCCTTGTCATAGGAAACAGATCAAAAGTGCAAGCACCGCCCCCGCCACAACCCGCGTTTGGTGAGTGTGCCACCCACTCTCACAAGACATATCAGCACGCGGCACGCGCTGCGCATGCCTGGATGAGTGTGTCCGCCCCACGTTCCACGTTGATCCATCATCGCACACAAGCCACAACACAGCCCAACAACCCCAACCATAACACACACGACAAGCGCACAGACAAGCCACCACCACCACCAACACCTCCTATTTGCACCCCCCTCTCACCACATCATGTGTCCCACTCACCTTTGAGCGCGTCAAAGTCGACCACAAACACGGCCACGACCTCTGTCTTCGCTTCCATCGCGCTGCTCGTCGGCTGCTGGTGATGACGATGATGTGTTGTTGTTGTTGCTGTGCTGTTTGTGAGCGGTATCCAATCGTTGCCGATAATTCGCCATGAAATTGATTACTTTTCAACACACGGACTCGCAACGGAGCAGTTTGGTGTGCTGTTGTTGTTGTGATGGTGGGTGGGCGAGGAGCGAGTGCAACCACGGGTGGAGGTGGTGCTGGTGGTGCTGGACGAGGTGGGGTGCGGTCTGGAAACAAGCGGCGATCACCGCTGCTCCGTGCTGGGGGCAAAGGCGTGTCATTTCCGTCGACTTCGGGCCCCGCGGCTGCGTCTGACGTGTACAACGAGGATTATCGCCGGCGCCACGCACGCCTGCACCACCACCACGTGCTGCAGAACGAGACAGCCTGGTCCGTCATGTGCTCCAGCCTGTCGTGGAAGATGCTCTCGGTGGCCCTGGTCATCACGCTTGTGCTCTACGCGGCAATCCTCACCACGAGCAAGCAACCCACCGGCACTGGCCGCTCGGTGGTCGCCGTGCAGAACGACGCACAGCCGGGTGTGCTTGGGCGGCACGGTGCAGCGCTCAGCAGCGGCTCGGCAGGCCAAAGCATATCCGGCAGCAGCGATGGCAGTCAGAGTGGGAGCAGCAGCCGCAGCAGCACTGGAATCAAGACTCATCACAGCAAGGGCAAGAACAGTTTCAGTGCACACAAGCAGAGGAAAAAGGCCGGCGGAGAGCAAAGCAACAGCAGGATACCGGGCGTGCCAGAATCCAAGCCCGCAGGTGACGAGCGAGTCACACGCAAGGGATGCTCCGCCATATCCATGCCGCCGACCACGGAGGTTGGCATCTTCTTCGACTGCAACCTCAAGCGGGCGCCGTCACGTCTGGAGCAGCTCACGCGCCTTCAGCTCCTGGATCTTGGCAGGAACGGGCTGACGACTGTCCCGCAGCATGCGCTGTCGCTGCCGCAGCTGGAGATTCTGTTTCTCAGCGGAAACGAGATTGCCAGCGTGGAGGCAGATGCGCTGGCAGCGGCGCTAAAGCTGCGCGTGTTGAGCTTAAAGGGCAACCGTCTTGCCACGTTTGACGGCCGCGCGGCGTCTCCACACCTCGAGCAACTCATCCTGACCGACAACAAGATCACCGAGCTGGTGGACCTGACGTTCCGACGCACGAACCTTCGCAAGCTCATGCTCACCCGCAACAGCCTCAACCACCTCCCACGCGACTTCACCGGCATGCGGCGGTTGGAGCTTGTGCGTCTCTCCCACAACGAGCTCACCGCGTTGCCTGCAGGCATGTTCAGCATGCCGCGGCTGTGTTGGGTGGCGCTCGCTGGGAACCCTGTGCTGGGGCAGGCACCAGCATCTCAGCAGCCGCAGACGATTGACGCGTCGCAACTCAGGATGGGAGAGGTGCTGGGCGAGGGCACGAGCGGTGTTGTGCATCGTGGCACATACAAGGGTGCTGCAGTCGCCGTGAAGCTCTTCAAGTCGCAGTCGTCTGACGGCAGCTTTTGGGTGTGTGAACATGCGCGTGCGTGTGCGTGTGTGTGTGTGTGTGGGGGGGGGGGGGGGCTTTGGCATGTGTGTGTGTGCGTGCGTGTGTGTGTGTGTGCGTGCGTGTGTGTGTATGTGTGTGCGTGTGTGTGTGTGTGTGTGTGTGTGCGTGCGTGCGTGTGTGTGTGTGTGCGTGCGTGCGTGTGTGTGCGTGTGTTTGTCTTGTAGTGTGCATGCTACGCATGTGATTTGCTTTGCTTCCTGACTGCTCACACCCTGTCTATATGTGATGGTTTAAGGATGAGATGGCAATTGCGAAACTGTTTCGACACCCCAACATCACAGCCGTGCACGGCATCATCACCAAACCACAACCAGGTGAAGCGCCATTTGCATGCCTGCAAGCAGCAATCGGGCGTGTGTGCTGTTGTATGCGTGTAGCATGAAAGTGCATGCGTGTGTGTTCAAATCATCAGCTTCAACGGTTGAGCCACATCGTCGACATGGCTGCTGTTTGCCGTTTTGTTTGTTCATCACTCCATCATTCTCACACAATCTCACACAATCCACTTCGTCCGTATGCCATTACATCCTTGTGATTGCGTTTGTTGTTGTGTTGCCGTTTTGTTTTGCCTGCAGGCATGGTGCTGGAGTATCTCAGCGACGATTTCCAGCCGCTGGCTTCACCGCCGGACGCATGGACGACACTGCGCTGCACATATCCCGCAGAGCTCGAGCTCACGCCGCAACACACCCTCGCCATACTCGCAGGTGCAGGGGTGGTGTGACGCAGCGTGTGTGTGTTTGCATGCGGGGTTTTTTTTTGTGTGTGTGCAAGTTCATAGCAGGGCGGATCTTCTGTACATGTGCTCACCATCTCTGTGCGGTCTCCTGCTCTGATCAGCGCTTGCCGATGCCCTGGCGCACGTGCACTCGCACCAGGTCGCACACGGCGACATCTATGCACACAACATCCTCTACAACCCCAATACAGGTGGGGTCATGTGCTGTTGTGCGTGTGTTTGCAACTCTTGAGGAGCGAATGCGGCAGCACGAACTGCGCACATTCCATGATGCACCACCTCGCTCACTCATCCCCCCACCGCCATTGTGATTGCCATCAGGGGAAGTGCGGTTGTCTGACTTTGGGGCGGCGTGGTCGTATGCAAATCTGCCTCCGTCTGACCATCCCCTCATTGAACGGCAGGAGATGCGTGCCTTCGGCATCTTGATCAAGGTGAGATGGTGGTGGCACGGCCATGATGTGTGATGGAGCGGGAAAAACGAAAGGAGGGTGGATTGTACACATGCACATGCTTGAGTTGTTTGGCCCTGTCTGACTGCCTCTCTGTCTCCCTGTCTGCCTGTCTGTCTGTCCGTGTGTGTGTGTGTGTGTCTGTGTGTCTGTGTGTCTGTGTGTCTGTCTCTCTCCACACGCTCCTTCCCTCGTTCACACACACGCATGTCAATTCCTCAATCACTCAAACCGATGCAGGAGTTACTTGCACGCACGCACTTCTCCACGTCCTCCCACGTGCCAATTCGTCGAGTCTTGAGCGAAGTGGCGCAGGACTGCACACTCGCACTCGTTGCCCGGCGCCCGAGCTTTGCTCATGTCGCAAACACCCTCACCGCCCTCATGTGAACACGCGGTTTTGTGCGTGCGTGTGTGTGTGTGTATGTGCGCGTCACGATGGAACCACGCCCGTTCTTGGCATGATGTAGAGTTGGTGTTTAATCAAACCAGTCCAGCTAGAAGCGAGCCAAGCGTCAAGCGTGAATCATGTATGCACAGGTGCAATCCACACCGATGATCGCTTTCGCAGCGAACGACCAACCAAGCGGCCGAGCAAACAAACAGCACGGCAGGAGCATCAAAAGCGTGCTGCTGGCAATGTGACGAGATGAGCACTCAGGCAGACACACACACACACACACAGACACACACACACACAGACACACACACACACACAGACACACGACACACACACACACACACACACACACACACACACACACACACACACACACACACACACACACACACACGTCACATCACGAGCTCTGCGGTGGTGGGAGGTCGATGTTGACGGATGCGAGTGCCTCACGGACCCAGACCGGGTAATTGTGGTCTGGATAGTTCTCAGCCATGAACGTCGTCACAAACGCAGGGAACGTGCCGTCGATAATCGCCTGTCGTGCATTGCCCATCAGCTCAAGCTGGGACGATGGCATTGGTAATGGTAATGGGGGTATCAGTTGCATCGGGGAATGCACACACACACACACACACACCCACACCCACACACCCACACACCCACACACCCACACACACACACACACACACACACACACACACACACACACACACAGGCACCCACACACACGCACACACACCCACACACGCACGCACACACACATAATCGCAATTGCAATTAATCACCACCCCCTCCCCCGGCACAGACCTGAAATGCAATGTTGTGGACGGTGAGGAGGTGGCATGCGACAGGCTCCTTGTTCACGATGCAATGCAGATGCGCGCGTGTGTAGTCGCGACACGTGGAGCACGTGCACGTTTCCGAAATAGGGCGGAAGTCGTTTGCAAATTTCTTCTGCTTCAGGACAAGTTGTCCGTTTCGCACGAGCGCGTGACCAAATCGCTGTCGTTGCGCGACGTGATGCAATACGGAAATACGGACGGAAAGGGTAAAAGCGTGGATGAGTGAGTGAGTGGGTGAGAACAAGCGTTCATGTGGTGGCCATGTTTACACATGAGCGCAGTGTGCACAAGCACACATGCTCAACGATGACAACAACAACTTAAACAACAACAACTTAAACAACAAACAACTTAAACAACAACAACTTAAACAACAACAACAACAACAACAACAACTTAAACAACAACAACTTAAACAACAACAACAACAACAACAACTTAAACAACAACAACTTAAACAACAACTCAAACAACAACAGCAGCAACAACAACAACAACTTAAACAACAACAACTTAAACAACAACAACAACAACAACAACAACAACAACAACAACAACAACAACAACAACAACTTAAACAACAACAACTTAACAACAACAACAACAACAACAACAAGCGTTTGATGACGACGCCTTTTGCTCACCGCGGTTCGTGTTGGGAAGACGCAGTCGAACATATCCACACCGAGAGCCACGCACACAACCATATCAACGGCATAACTGCCATGATGATGTAGCGGCGGTGGTGGTGAAGGTGAGGTGAGCGGAGCGAGTAGCACGATGAAGGGACGGTAGTGTTGATGAATATCGCGCTGCAGAGCCAAGCGCTGTGTGTGGAGCACGTCAACACCAGCAGAACGCACAATGCCTGGCAGAAGTCTGACGACAACACTCACAGCACTCGAACAAACCAACAAAACAAACAAACCCAAAGGAGACAGCCAAGGGCATCCCAACCCAGCAGCAACACGACGCCAGCGAGCGACTGCAACAGCACTCACCCAACGCCCATGCAGTAACGCGGCTTGCCATCTGGAAGAAGATCAGCGCTGACTTTGACAGCGCGCCAGAACGCATCCTTCTCCTCCCCGCCACTGAGGCCGCCGATGGCATAGCCAGGCAGGTCACGGGCCACCATCTCGCGCACACACTCGCGACGCAGGTTCTCATCAAGCCCGCCCTGGATAATGCCAAAGAGGTTCTGGCGGTCGGGGTGGCGGTGGGCCTGAGGGCACGAGGGGATGATTATGGAGAGTGGCGGATGGTTTGTGAGTTGTGGCTCGTGTGTTGTGGGTTGGTGGTGTTGGTGGTGGTGGTGGTGGTGGTGGTGGTGTGATTGAATGAGCGTGCGTGTGGACGGTTAAGGGGGTGGTGGTGAGAGATGCATCAGCAGTCGGGTTGGTTGTGATGGTGACTGGTGATTCTGGTGATGAGTGGACCTCGATGCATCGGTCGAGCCAGCGGATGGAGCGGTGCATCGCTTCCTCCACGCGCGGACCTGGGCAGCGTCATGTTGGAGTGAGGCCATATGATCACAAGCAGCCATGAGCAAATGCACACATGGACACAGGCACACACGTGAGAACACACACGTAAGCAAATGCACACACACACACACACACACAAACAAACACACACACACACACACACACAAACAAACAAACAAACACATACAGACACACACCTGTGACGAGCGAGCTGACAACGTCGTCGAGCTGCATGATGATATCGGCGCCAATGACGTTCTGGAGGAAGATGGAGTGTTCCGGGGTCAGCAGCATGTCGCTGCCGTCGTGCGGTGAGCGGAACTTGACCCCTTGCTCCGTCACCTCGCTCAGCGCCAGCAGCGACACCATCTGAAACCCGCCGCTGTCCTGCATGTTGGGTTGAGTTTCGTTGGAGGGGGGGGGGGAATTGAAGGTTATGTGGTAGCAGGAAGCATTGCATGACGGTGGAATTGCTTGTGGTAGTGTGTGAATGTGTGAATGTGTGTGTGTGTTGAAGAAGTCAGACGCAAGAGGAGGTGTGGGCTGCCAAGACGGCGCAAGGACAAACCCACGTACACGCACACGCATACGTACACACGTACAAACACACATACGTACACACGTACAAACACACGTACAAACACACGCAAACATTTACGTACACGCACACACGTTCACACGTACACGCGCACACACATGCACGTACACAGGCACGCACAAACACATATGCACACATACACACACAAAGCACGCTCGAACGCACAGTGAGGACGGAGCGCTTCCAGTTCATGAACTTGTGCAGGCCACCGGCTTCCTTGAGCACGTCTGGGCCGGGGCGTGCGCCAAGATGGTATGTGTTGGACAGCATGATTTGGCAGCCGACAGACTCAAGTTGTGCCGGCGTGATGCCTTTCATTGTGCCCTAACGCAGTGCGCCACAATTACGGACGGCGTCATTGTAAGAACAAAGGACAAAACAAGGAAAGAGCGCACAGCGAAAACCTGAGGCGTGCACAACAAGCAAGACACTCACGGAGCCCCTAGCACACATACACAAACACACACGAACAGACACTCCACACAAACACACATACACACTCACACCCACAGACACCCCTCCCGCACACACACTCCACACACACACACACACATGCACACCTGAGTTCCCACTGGCATGAACACTGGCGTGCTGACAACACTGTGTGGCAGAGTCATGTTTGCTGCGCGGGCATTGGTCGTGCAGCATTTCGCCACAATGTCAAACTGCAACGCCGATCTCTGCGCCATCCTGTGCATCCAACCCCAACGTCGTGCTTGTGCGAGCTTTGGGTGTGTCGGGTGTTGGCGTGGTGGTGTGTCGGGTGTTGGCGTGGTGGTGTGTTGTGTGCAGTGCGTGTCCGTGGTGTGTTGTGGTGCGTGTGCTTCCTCCGCGTTTACCGGACGTTCGAAAATCTACGTTATCTTTCGTCATTTCTCTACAATTGCACCGCCAATTTCGCGCCAACGAACGAGACAAGCAGCAAGTCGACAACGCAGCAGCCACACACGCACACACACACACACACACACAATCCATCTGTTGTGAAGGCGTGGTGTTGCGGTGTCGAGTGGGGGTTTCATGTCAACCTGAGCACAGTGCTGTAGCAGCAGCAGCAGCAGCAGCAGTTGTCGTGCGGGCAACGTTGCACGAGCGTGCTCGCTGCACAACTAACGACACGCACAGACAGCACCCACCACCACCACCACCACCACCACCAACAGCGCCATGGTTGGTGGTGCATCGCCCACACCTCCTGAGCGGCCGCCGGCACAGAATGCATCGACAGAACAACAAGCAGCGTCTTCGCCTCAGCCACAGGCGCAGGCGAATCTGGAGCAAGGGCAACGGTCAGAGCCACAGCAGCCCCAGCAGCCACCGCAGCAGCAGGGCGGGTTGTCCAATCGCCCCTCGACTCCAACGCCATCCGCAGCTCAGACCACAGATGACGCAGATGACGCTCAGCAGAAGCAAAGTGCTGGCAGCGGTACAGACGGTCAAAAGGCGGAAAGGCCCACCACCACCATCACCACCACCACCAAAGACCAGGGTGCCACCGATGAGGCTGAGGATGACAAGAGCGATGATGACGACCGATGGAAAGGCATGGCGTCGAAGATGGGGCTGCAGCTGAACGACGTCAAGGCCATCATCAGAGAACTCGTCTCGAACGAGGCTGTCATCGACTACGCAGTGCAGCAAAGCAAACGCCTCAAGCGAAGAAAGAAGAAGAAGAAAAAGGAGATCAAGCAACAGCAACAGCACCAGGACGAGAAGGAGGAGGCGCAACAGATGTCTGGGCAAGGGCGCTCCACTCCGAGGAACGGTGATAATGGTGTTGATGATGGCGACGATGATGACGATGCCGATGCCAGCGTGTGGGAAGATACAGATGATGATGACGACGGCGGTGGCGGTGATGACGATGAGGACGATGATGATGATGATGACGACGATGACGATGATGACGATGAGTTTGAGAGCGACTCTGACGATGATGGAACGGAGGCGTACAGCGAGCTGAGCTTTGACGAGAACGACGACGTGCTGAACCTTCCCATCCTGACACGCGCGCAGAAGATGGAGATCTTGCGGAGTCGACAGCAGCTCGAGGCGAACAAGACAGCGGCGGCATCATCAACAGCAGCAAGTACCACAGCGACATCAACAACAACAGCAACAACAGCCGCAGCGACGACAGCAACAGCTGGAACTTCGTCAGTGTCCATGAGAGCAGTACATGCAGGAGGAATTGAGGCAGCGGTCAGGGGAGCACTCGCACAGACCAACGCGCAGACAGCGAGTGGTGGTGGTAATAGTGGTGGACGGCAGGCCAGCGCGGTGAGCAGTGCAACAGAGGCATCAACCACCGCAGCTGCCGCTACAGGCAGTGGTGCACCGCAATGTGAAATGCAGCCGACGACGACGACCACCACCACCACGAGTACCTCGACCACCAGCACGACTGCACAGGGAGGCAGCACCAGTTGTAACAGCAATGCGAGCACACCCGTCCCGCTCATTCGCTCCCTGCATCCAACCATACCCAGTGGTGCACCTGCCAATACACACACAAGCACACACATGACAGCAACAACGGCGACTGCAACAACAACGACAACAACAACTGCTCTCGGAACAGCGCAAAACGCGCCCGCTGCCGTGGCTGCTGCTGCTGACGACGACGACGACGACGATGATGATGCCGATTACAATGCTGACGAGGAGGAGGAAGAGGAAGATGATGATGATGACTTGTTTTACGATGACGTGCGGACGAGTGACACTGGATTTCCGACAGCAGAGACTCCAACGCCATCGTCAAGTTCGCGGCATCTCACACCCCTCATCCCTCCAACAGCGTTGCGTGCAAGCACAAACGCAACACCAACACCAGTATCATCATCATCATCATCAGCAGCAGCGGCAGCAGCGGCAGCCAGACAAACTGCTGTGCTCTCAACACCTCAAGCTGGCACCCACTCCACGGATGACGGGGATAAGACGCCGACACCGGCCACAGTAAACGCAACGCCAGCATCAGCAGAGCGGGCAGACGCGCAGCAGCCCCAGGCGCTGAAGCAAGGAGCAACAACAACAGCACAAGAAATGGCACCAACAGCAGCAACTGTAGCCACACCAACAACAGCAACACCAGCAACAACAACAACAGCAGCAGCAGCAGCACAATCAGCGCTGCCATCGCTCCCACTCGGCCGTCAGCGAACACCGCAGATGCAGGGGCGGTTTTGTCTCGTGTGCGAACGGTACACGGTTGTGAAGCAGCGCTGCACGCGGTGCGGGGCGTACGAAGAGGACTTCTTCTTCTCCCTGCCAGATGTGCTGCACGCGCAGTCGCCGCCACCGCTGCTGCCGTCATCTGATGCCATCACCACAACCACGTCTGCTGCCAGTGCTGCGCCATTCACGTTGCCTGCAGCGTCAGCGCCAGCAGCACCACCACCAGTTGTAACGGCAGCAGGGGATGTGAATGCACATGCTGGCGTGTTCACGCCCAGCCCCAACACTGGTGCAGGCACTGCACCCACGACCACGAACACCACATCGGCTCCGTTGTCAACGGTGCCCACCGCCCCAGCAGCTCCCGTGCTGCCTTCTCCAACAACAGCAACGGCAGCATCAACGGCAGCAGCACCTGTACTTGATCACGCGGACACGCTCTGCTCGCTCGATCTCTCGCTGCTGCCGTCGCCGCCACACCCCAATGCCGCCCTGGCACCACCACACTCAACGGCTGCATTGGGAGCACCACCACTATTACCACCACCATCATCAGCAGCATCAGCATCAGCAGCATCAGCAGCAGTGGCAGTGGCATCTGGAGGAATGACGGGGCAGCACGCACCGCCGTCGACCATCAACTCGGCGTTCTCTGCTCTCTTTCAGGTATCACATATGAATGTGAATGTGGTGCTGTAAACGATTGGCGTGGTGCTGGCGTGATTTGCGTTTCCTGCGAAGCTCCTGGTGTTCATGGCACTAGTCGCTCAATATTCATGCATGTTCTCGTGCTTCTCATCTTCAATTCGCTCCCATTTTCGCCCACACACCTCACCTTGCATTAACACACTCGCACACATGCGCTGTGTGTGTGTGTGTGCGTGCGTGTGTGCGTGCGTGTGTGCATCGACTCAACGTTGTTGCCTTTCACTCCGCACCATTTCATCTCATTTCATCAGCTGGACGAGCCGCCCACAATCGCAAAGCGCACCCGGTCCCAATTTCCGCTCACAGACCTCAGCCTTGACGACCTCGAAAGTACGAACACACACACACACACACACACACACACACACACACACACACACACACACACACACACACACACACACACACACACACACACACACACACGCTGTTTTTTGTGTTTACATGTACGTCTGTTTGTCTGGGCTGCACTTGTGCATTTGTTTCATTTTCTCATCTTCACCAACGCACTTGCGAATTACACCTGTCCTGTGATTTGCGGTCTCATACTGGCGTGATGTGTATGTGTGTGTATGTGTGTGTGTATGTGTGTGTATGTGTGTTTGTGTGTGTGCTGCGCGTCTACGGTTGTCGACGTGTGCTTTCGTGCGCAGTGCCGCTCGGCACGAGCAACAAGTTGTGGTCGTCGCTGCCAATGGACGGAGTTGACTCTGATGATGATGTCGCCTGGCTTCGATTCCTCCACGGTACACACGTGCTTGCATCCATTCAACAACGTGCACACACACACACACACAATGAGCACGCATGCGCATGATTGTGACCATGGGATTGCCCACTGTTTGTCGTGTGGTTTTTGCTTTGTTTACATGTGTTGTGAATGTGTGTGTGTGTGTCCGAATGTGTGTTAATGTGTGTGTGTGTGTGTTTGTTGCTCTCTTACGCTCAGATCCTCGCAGCACGGATGACGACGACGACAACGACGATGATTTCCGTTTCTCAATCGACGAGATGACGCTCTTTGTAAGTCCACGCGTGCTGGCAGACATGTGCTTCCGCGACAAACATCCATGTTCACCATCAAGCATGTACACAGTTCACTTTCCTCGCTTGCATACATGGGCTTGCGCTGGCACCAAACGCACCCCTTTCCTCGCTAACATGTTCTGAGTTTTACGTGAACCTGTCTTTCGTCTCTTTGTGTCTCTGCGGGTGCGTTCGTGTCTATGTGTCTGTATTTATGATGTGTGGGCGTGCAGGACGCAGTTGAAGAGGCGGAAACAGAACGACTTCGCGTCTCACGTGCGTGCACATGTGGTCATGGGATGGTCCACATGCACGTTGACTTGCACGCCGCTTGCACTCACGCAATAGCACAGAACAGAACATTCATAGCCGTACCTGCATGCAAGCAATCACACACACACACACACACACACACACCCAGAGCAACACTCGCAGTCGTGCTCAAAGCTCACGTTGCTCTTTCCATTCTTCATGTGTGTGTGTGCAGAGAAGGAAACGCTCGCACTGCGAAAAGACACGACGGTGCTGCTTCGCGAACTCGGCGCGTGAGTAACAGACACTGCTGATTTGTTTCCATCCACTTCCATACACACACGCACGCATGCACACACGCACTTCTTGTTCATGCACACACTCGCTTGTGCTCCCAATCACATGACATCCTCCCCTCCTCCTCCTACTCCCCGTCCTCTTCCCACACATACACACACACGCACGCACGCACATGCATACACACACATATCCCCCAAACATGTACACGGTCAGGCAACCGGAGGATGTGCTGCTCGTGTCACCAAAGCGACGACGAACACCACACCACCACCACCACCATCGCCGCCATCACGGGGCACACGTTGGCGCAGCGGCGCGTGTGCTGTCTCCACCACGAACGTCACACAGCCAGCGGCACGCACGCACACACACTGGGTCACATCGGGGAGCGAGGTCAAGACACGGCGCACCCATAGCACCACCACCATCATCATCGTCATCGTCATCGTCATCAGCGGCAGCGAAAGCGAAAGCAGAAGCAGAAGCAAAAGCTGCTGCGGAGAGGAGAAAGGAGTGGTTGAGAGCAAAGCGGCGGCAGCGAAGGATGGAACGCGAAGCAAACGATGACTGGTCCCTCTTCCTGTTCGAGGATGATGACGATGACGACGATGATGACGGCGGCGGTGGCCACGGCGTGCGGGGTGTGGCGGCCAGCACTGCAACGCACCATGCACATGGTCACGGGCATACACAAAGAGGTCGTGATGCAGCCCTGCAACGTGGATACGCTAACAACAACAACAACAACAACAACAACAACAACAACAACAACAACAACAACAACAACAACAACAACAACAACAACAACAACAACAACAACAACAACAACAACAACAACAGCAACAACAACAACAACAACAACAACAACAACAACAACAACAACAACAACAACAACAACAACAGCAACGGCCATGCTGAGAGCACCGCCGTGGTGGACAAGGAGAACCAGAAGGGGGGACCATCGGCAACGCCCCCTCCAAAGAGTTTCAAGGGCATGCGACGCCTATCGAACATCACAACATGGAGCCAACACGCGCGCGTGCAAACAAAATCGCCATACTCATTCACGGAACGACAGCTGCTACAACTCTTCAACCAAATACGCTTGGTGTGCGCGTGTGTGCGTGTGCGCGTGTGTGTGTGCGTGTCTGTGTGTGATTGCGACCCAAACATGATCACGTACATCTGTGTCCGCCTTGATCACATCATCACACTTCCTTCCCCTCACATGATCACCACCACCACCACCACCACCACCTGTCATGTCACGTGCATCAGCTGCATCAGCTCCTGGTGCAGGGGATGAACGGCGTCATTCTCCTGAAACATTCAAACGCGTTTGAGAAGTTGGCGGAACTGCACTCCTCTTTGCTGCAAAGGGCCGCAACCATCGATCCCCGCCTCAAGAGTGAGATATCGTGACGCTTCGTAGCAAGAGGCGGGGGCGCTGTGTTGCAATTGTTGATTGCATTCCCCTGTCTGTGTGTGTGTGTGGGGGGGGGGTGGGGACCACTGCTTGGTTTTGTTGTGATCGTCACCTCACCATTGACAACTATATATATGTGTGTGTGTGTGCCACAGAGACGAGCATGTATCGTGTTCCCGGGTTTCAGGATTTCCAGTCGATTCATCACACACTCAAACACGAGCGCAGCCGCCTCTGTACCCTCGCCGAGGTGAGAGGCGATGGGGCCAATGGAGGTGGTGATGATGATTGACCGTGGTCGAGTTGGTTCGCATGTGTGAAGTAGTGGTGCGGTTGATGATGTGGCTCCATGACACAGACCCACACCCCTTCCCCAAATGCTGTAATTCGAACAACCATGTGCCAACCAAACCCGTTCTTTCTTTTCTTTTTCTGTCTTTTTTTTTTCCTTTGTTCACTCCGTCCCCCCGCCCCTCTTTCCAATCCAACAGCAACATCCAGACCAACACATTCCACGTATGGCGTTGATTGACGTGCGTGATGCGAGTTACAACGCCATCAAATCCGTGCAACGACATTTTATTCCCGAGGTGAAGCACTCGCGCACACAGCTCAGGGACGAGCTGCCAGCAAACCCAAGTGAGTGTGCGTGTGAGATGGTTCGATCTTCTCGATGTATATGCTCATGTGTGCACGTGTTCGTGTGTGTGTTCGTGTGTGTGTGTGTGTGTGTGTTTTCGTTTGCCACCTTCGAATCCATGACCCCCGCCCCATGCACACACACACACACACACACACACACACACACACACACACACACACACACACACACACACACACACATCACGCTTCCCATTCAACGTCTGGCATGTCTCAGGCCGCGCAAGAAGATTACCCCTGGCGAGTCGCAGCTGATTGCCCTTGCCCTGATGCAACTCAATGGCTCCTTGCAAGATGTGCGCACAAGATACCTCCCGAACGTTCCGCTTGCACAGGTGCGTAAGTGCTCATGCCGTATTCTCTTTGTGGATCACACCTCTGGTGGTTTGCGTTTTTTTTTGTTGTGTCAGTTGTAAATGTTCCGCATGTCACGTGTGCATGCATTGTCACTTGCACCTGAGTGTGTCTGTGCCTTGCCGCGACTTGCACTCACACACCATCACCACCACCACCACCACCACCACCACCACCACCACCACCACCACCATTGCACCAACCTTGCGATTGCGCGCGCGTGCAGCTGAAGAAGCATGTCTCAAACAAATGCGAGCAGGCAGACAGCCCGTTTCGTGCGTTGCTGGAAGGAATATCCCCGCAAGCCTTCCGCAGCCAATACATCAAGTTTTCGCTGTCCTTTCCAGCGCCACCACAGCCCAAGCAGAAGAGGCTACAGCAGCCGATACAACAGGAGGAGCAGGCGAACAACAGCAGCAGCAGCCAGCAACAGGGCGCGACGGTAGCAGTGGGTGCTGTCTCAGCTGCCCGCACAGACGAACAACAACAACAACAACAACAACAACAACAACAACAACAACAACAACAACAACGACAACAACAGAAGAAGAAGAAAAGGGAGAAAAGGAAGAGCAAGAAGCAACAACAACAACAACAACAACAGCAACAGCGGCAGCAACAGCGGCGGCCGACCAAACTCCCATCTGTGTATGACGCACCCCCAATGCCGTCTGCGAACCACTACGTGTCTTTCATGTCCTCCCTCAACACCGTGTACTCAACTCCAACGAGCAGCAACACCATCACCACGACCACCACCAATCACATCCGCCACCACAGCAGCAGCGCGAAAGCCACCACTCACACCCTGCATACAGCATCATCACCGCCACCACTGTTGTCACCACCAACACACACAATTACCACCAGCAGCGCTGCACCAACGCCACATGCCCCCTCTGCGTCGACCCTTGCCCATCATCATCATCATCCTCATCATCCTCATCATCCTCATCATCCTCATCATCCTCATCGTCGTCGTCGTCGTCGTCGCATTGTGCCGCGTGCCGTGGCCACATCCCCGCGCCGCCGCAAGCGGCATCACGTTCGATTTGACGATTACGACAGCGACGGCGGTGGAGGCCACCGACATCACAGTGGCTCTGCTCGATCGTACACGGATCCCCACCACCGCCACCGCCACCGCCACCGGCCCCGCCACGGCGGTGTTGTTCCTCTCGACCTCAACCTGGACGCCGGCGGCAGTGCTGATGATGACAGCGACGGCTGGGTTGTGCTGGAGGAGCAAGTCGGTGCACGTGCGAGCGTGCCTGCGACGCGTCTTGTGTCGTTGGGCCATGCCGCCGCAGCAGCAACAGCAGGAGCAGCACCTGCACAGGCAGCGATGATGGCCACATATGGCAGCATGCGCCGGTTTCAGCGCGTGGTCGCATCACCGCATGGCATCAATGCCATGCCTGCAAACAACGACGTTCTCGTGCCGTCTTCAGCGCTAACATCTCGGCCGCCCCCACCCGGCCTCACCTCCCCCTCAACATGGGAAGCGCAGCCACCGCAACCGCTGACGGTGACGATTGGCGATGGTGCAACGGCCACAGATCCCGAAGCCACTGCGCACGCATCAGGACAAGCCGCCGACGCATCAACCACGAATCGGGCGAGCACAGCCGTCATGGAGGTGCCGTCGAGGTTGCTCGGCGTGCGGCGCGGTCCTCACGTCATCCGGTCCACTGTCACGCAGCGACCCGCACCCCAGCACGCCCAGCCACAGCACATGCACGTGCACCCTGTGCAATACCAGCACATGCAGTATCAGCAGCACATGCACAACCTATACCAACAGCAGCAACAGCATATGCATGTGCCAGGGGCGCCATTCCACCAGCCACTGCATGGAAAGATGGCTGCTGCCGCCACCACCACCGCTGCTAGCGGCGCTGTCATGCTGCAAAGCCCGCTGCACTCGCACTCGCTCTTTGAGTTCCAGCAGTCGCTGTCGCAATGGCTGCCAGAACCATCGCTCATGTCTGCTGCGTTTGCGCTTCCGCCCGTCCCAGCGCACCTGCACGCATCATCAGTAGCAGCAGCAACAGCAACAGCAGCACGTGAATTGTCGGGAACAGCCATTGCAGGTGGAAGTGTACTGGGCGCGACTGGTTCCAGCACGGCGACAGGCGGTGCCACAGTTACCACCGCGCCATCACCACCAGTGAAGCCTGCCCGCCGCCGCAAACGCGTGCAGCCGACCGTGGTACCACCGCCTTCATCATCATCGACAACAGCATCGACAGGATCAACAGCAGCCGCAACAGCAACGCCCTCGGTTGTGCAGGAGAAACGGGGTGGCGAGCAGCCGCGCATGGATGGTGTTGGACGGGTGCTGTCGCCGCTAGACGCAGCAAAGGCGAGGGCAAAGGGAAGGCGCGGGAAAGGACAGGGCGGCAAGCGGAGAATTCGTCCATCTTCTGTCCGCAATCGGACGCCATCGCCGCTGTCATCGCCGTCACGTCAGCACATTCGCCGTTCGTTTGCACACATCTCTGAGATTGCGTCATCATCATCACCAACAGGACCATCGCCACCACGCCCAACGATTCTGCACACCAGTGATGACAGTGATGATGATGATGATGATGATGATGATGATGATGGTGGTGATGATGGCGACAATGGCGACAACGGCGGTGACGACCATGTTGGTACAACGAGTGCTGTTGGTGGTGGTGGAATGACGGGGATTGTGCCCGCCGCTTCAGTATCATCAGCGCAACACGGTGTCACTGGCAGCGCTGGTCCAACTCATCCCACGACGACGCCAATTGCTGGCGTGCCGTCGCAACAGCAGCCAGCAGGCGCAATTGCATATGCGGGCACGCCGCAATCGCAAGCACAACCGCGCCCACCACGTCCACAACCGCAGCTGCCAGCCACAGGCCTGCACCCCCCATTTGTGACGGCCTCAACCCATCCGTTGGACATGTTTTCGCTTGCGTCACAGAGCCAGTTTTCGCTCTTCAGCCCGCTCATGCGAGGCATCCCCATGTTTCCTGGCCAGGCCTCATCTGTGGGCGGGATTGCGTCAGGGCATGCCAGCTTGCATCCATCGCCGTTTGTCCATCACCCGGGCACCTCCCCATCACTCCCCACGCACACCCAGCGTCAACAGCAGCAGCAACAACAGCAACAGCAACAGAAGCAGCAGCAGCAGCGCCAGCAGCCAACACACGCAACGGCAACCCGCACAACCACCACGACGTCAGCCCCCAGTGGGGGTGGTGCTGGTGGCGGTGGGTTGTCGCTGTCTCGAATGCCGAGCGAGGAGCTGTCACGCCTGATCCACGGTGGGGACGCCCCAATGCCATTTCACCCGTTTGCACCCGGCGGCGACTGCAGCATGGGCGCATCGCAGCTGGCGTTCCTTGGCATTCCGCCAACACCACCGCGCCCGCAGCGGCCTGGGCGGCGCGGTGCTGTTGGGACTGGCGGTGGTGGTGTGCGAGAAGAGGACGATGTGCTGGTGGAGATTACGCCCGCTGATGTTGCGGGTGACAAGCAGCCAGACGAGGCTGAGGGGGAGGCAAGGAATAAGACGCAGGAGGGGAGGCAGACGAAGACGAATGGGCTGAAGAAGAAGCAGAAGAAGAGGAAGAAAAAGACGGCGACGACGAACGAAAAGCGAGGCCACAATCCGCAGCGGGAGCAGGAAGAGCAATACGAGAAGAGGCAGGAAGCGGTTCATGTGCGGCAGCCACGTCCGCGCAGTGAACCTGTGGATATGATTGTGAGTGCAAGTGGGAAGGAGTTGCGACGCGCGAAACGCGTGTTTGATGGAGTGGACGACGGCACCGGCATGATGGCATTTGAACTCGTGCCGGCGTCTCCAAAGAAATCAAAGACACAACAACAACAACAACAACAACAACAACAACAACAACAACAACAACAACAACAACAACAACGACAACAACAACAACAACAACAACAACAACAACAACAACAACGTGCAGCGTCGGCGCCTCAACCCGTCCATCGCCCCATTGCTCCAGCAGCAGCAGCGCCATTGTCATCATCACCAGCGCTGACACTGTCATCATCGCCAGCTCACGTTGTTTCGCCGGCATCGTTTGCTGCGTCACCTATTGCAGCTTCAATGGCACGTGCACTTGCACAGTCGCGAGCACCAGCGCCTGCCACGCCCGTTGCGACTGCTCGTGCTGGTGGTCATGACGGTGGTCGTGATGGCGGTGATGTTGACCGTGCTGGCAGTCGCGTGTCGACAGCGAAACGCCAGCCGGAGCAACCACTCGCGGACATGCGGACAGACATTCCGCTGATCAAGAAGCCACGTGCATCTGTGATTCTTGGTGAGCCTTCAGCAGCGGTGACACAATCGTCGTCAGTCAACGCACATGTCACGACACCTGCCGCTGATGGTATTCTCGCACCAAGCAACAGCCTGCCGGTGGGCGAACGACCGGCGCCGTCAACAGCAGCGACATCAACACCGCCAGCAGCCACATTAACACAAGCATCAGGTGTATCGGTATCTGCAACAGCCGCGACTGCATCAAAACACACATCATCAACAACAGCATCGGTGTCAGCGGCGTCACCAATGCAGACTACACGCCGCAACCGACGAAAGCCCGCAAATCCGCAGCAAAGAGACGTGAGATGGCAACAACAACAACAACAACAACAACAACAACAACAACAACAACAACAACAACAACAACAACACCAACAACAACAACAACAACTGCGGTCATCATCACCTGCTGTTGCTGCTGTGGCTTTTGATGCTTCCGCTAAACGCCAGGACGATAAAGTCCAAGCACCCACCACTGCAACAGCAGTTACAACCACTGCAACAGCAACTGTCAACACGTCACCTCGTCGTTGCCGGGACAATGGAACGAGCCCAGCGCGAGCTGCCAGTGATCAGCCCTCTGCTGCGCCATCGTCATCGTCGCCATCACCGAAGCGTGCGCACCTTGTGCCAAACCATCGCCGCTTCTCAAGGTGAGATGAATGCCTTGTATGCAGCCATTGTTACATGCGGGCTGACCTCGAATGTGTCTTTGCGTTTGCGTGATGGCATGGTGGCGCGGTTGCTTTGTGAGTTCTGATTTGAGGTATTGTGGAACATGCGCCATGTTGGTGATGTGACAGGGAGGAGGACAAGGCGGTCTTGCTTGCAGGCAAACGTATTGCTGCGAACAAAACGTCATGGGCCAAAGCAGGTGCGCTACCATTTGCAAAGATGTTGTTGCTCCTTGCTTGGTTTGTTCTCTGCTCAATTTTTGCCCCTGTGGCGCAACTCACACACACACACACACACACACACACACACACTCACACACACACACACACATACACACATACATACACACACACACACACGCACACACACACACACACACCACAACCACCACAGCTGCAACGACGGCTGTTCTCAGCGGGCGAGCGGAAACAGAGGTGAGAGGATGGATGGTGGCGGCAATTCGTGCTGTTCGTGCTGTTCGTGTTCACACAATCGTTCTGCTACTCGTGTTTTCGTGCCTGTGAAGTGATGTTTTTGCGTGCTGTGGCGCCTGCTGCTGTTTCCTTCACCATAATTTCCACGCTTACCATGGCCGCAACTTGGTGCACGCTTGGCCAGCTCGCTGAACGGTTTTCGTTCCTGATGGACCGATGGAAGCGGCGACGTGCAGACAAGCAGAAGCCAACGCCATGATCATGATGATCATGATGAAATTGTCATTGCCCTCCTTGGTTTGTTGTTGTGTTGTGTTGTGTTCCCCCCGTCCTGTTCTTGCATGCTTCCGTGGCCTTGATCAACGCCCAAGGCCCCTCTTCCCCTCTGTTTTCGTGTTGTTGTTCACAGTGTGAACCCCCCCCCCCCCTCTCAATGCCTGTGTTACAGCTTGGCTCCTGGCGTACCTGCCACGTTTTCTTCGAGCCGGGAGCCTTGCTTTTTTTTTTTTTTGTCTTCTAATGAATGTAACCTTAAAGTAAATGAGCCATCCACTGAAAATGTAACAAACAAAACCAAACACGTGGATGTATGATGAGCTCGACACAACGTTGAAACTACCACAGAGATGACAAGACAACATTGAAACCACCACACACACACACACACACACACACACACACACACACACACACGTGTGCCACTTCACACATGTGCCATGACACACGTGCAAGCAATTGACTCTGGCCTGTGTGAACGAAATCCATACGTCGTATGCGTTCAAACACACGTGGATGAACCAAAAACACATGGCGGAATCCAAACGTTCACACAGAAAACACACATGCAACATACACCACGTTCGTAACAGACAATTGATATGTGCACACCAAATGACTATGAGCTGAAACGGCATGCGTACTCGGACTGCACGTGGGACGTGAGCTGTGCAGGGAGATTGTGTTGGCTGCAGTGGAACGCAGTGATGGCATCATCCTCGCACACAACACCACGCGCAGTCCTGCTCCCGCTCACAAACACGCCCGAACTCGCCCCGCCTGGTGTGCCACGAACATTTCCAGACGCAGGTACCTGTACAGTACTGCGGCCACCAACGCCATCGTGCTGTTGTTGCTGCTGTGGCCGCGCAAGGATCATGACTGCAGTGTGCAGTGCATATGTCACGTTGATTGGGTATGTGGTGACAGCCGGCGAGGTCACGGCACATGACGCATCGTAGACCACATGCACGCCATCACCGCGAGCACCATCCGTGCCGTCCGCACCACGATTGTTGTTGCCGTGCGCGTTGCCTTTGTGGCTCCCACCCTCTTGCTGGTTCCGCGGGCCAAGCCGTGGGTTGCGGTGTGCTGCTTTGTCGTTGCGCTGCAGAGTGCGTGGTTGCGTCACGCCAAATGTGAAGCGTTCAAAATAGCGTCCCCTTTGCGGGTGCTTGCTCGTTGCAGTGAGGTTGAATTCGACGCCACGCACGCCAGCAAGCATGCGTGGCAGCGTATCTGGCTGGAGTGGCACATGGCGCGTCACATTCGCTGGCACCGTGAACAGCGAGGTCGTGTATGTGAGCGAATCCGTGAACACGTCTTTGACTGCAACGGAGAGGACCTGTGCCGTCAGGTTGTAGTGGAGGCACGAGCTGAGCGGCTTCCCGCCACCGTGCGACGGCGTCCAGCCGCGCTCGAATGTGGCGTTGAGCACGCACGTGTCGTGCTTGCACTGCTGCAGCTTGATGCTGAAGACACTGAACCACGCGCCGTTGCTGTTGCACACGTCACACCCGGCGGCCTTGTCATTGACACACGCCAGTCGAAGGTTGACGCCGCCGAGGACTTGCTGGTGAGTGGTGCCGCCACTGCTAGTGCTCGTCGCAGACGGGAAGCTGACGTTAGCGAGCATCGTGACTCTTGCGGAGGGCGCTTCGTCCGAATCACCTCGACCAGTGGTGGAAAATGTGGTGACATTGTCTACGCTGGCTGGTGAGGACGGGGAGATGTGGTCCGTGGCAGAGACGTGCACGTGCTTCTCGCGTATCAGGTCAGAATCCTGACTCTCCACCACAGCAAACCGCACCAGCGGGAATGCATAGTCGCCGTCTACCCCAGGCTGTGCGCGTCACACACACACACACACACACACACACACACACACACACACACACACACACACACACACAACAGAGGGTGAGAATGCAGCAACAGCTGTCCAAGAGTAGCTCTGTTCGTGGCAAATTGGGCAGCAAGGGTAACGCACAGTTGCAAACAGCAACTTGAAGCCATGTCACACATCATCGTGGCAGTGCTCGTCTTACCGTGAATGTCATGGACGACGATACGGTGGACACGTTCTTTGGCGAACATTTCGAAGCACTCGCTTCCCACTGCAAGTTTCCCAATCGATGGGGCGTCTCAAAGCCTTTGGTTGAGGCATAAAACATGTTGTTCGTGGAGCAGAGTATGGTGAGAACGAGGCCGAAGCAAAGGTAGACGTGGATGCACGCCGCGAGCGTTGCAATTGATAAATTGCTTTGCTGCTTCACCGGCGCGATCGACATCCATATCCACCCTCATCTTCAACGTCCACATCCACATCCGCATCTTCGACATCCACATCAACGTCCACGTCCACATCACGTGTACCCACCGGCGATGCGGTGGCGCCATTGAAAGTCCATGCCTTGCACCACGACCCTCGGCGGATGCTGCTCTCCGCCAACGAACCGTGGTGCAGTGGCCGCTGCCACCACCAGCACACACACAAAGACCGAGCACAACACACTGCCGCTGCTCATCGTCTTATTCCTGGCAGTGCCTTGAATTGTAGAAAAATGGCGGATATTTTCCCTAAACTATCGAATCGCCCAACGCGCACTGCTGACGATGACCATCATGATTGAGTTGAGGTGCAAGTTGAGTGTGCTGGTGGTGCTGCTTGGAGCGTTGCTGCTTGTTGTTGCGCCAGTGTTTGCAGCTGAGACCAGCAATACAGAAGGCGGAACTGCTGGAGGCAGCAGCAGCAGCAGCAGCAGCAGTAGTAGTAGCGACGGCGGTGGTGATGGTGTGGACACGGAGAACGAGGCATCCACAGCGGGCAGTGCGGTCATGAACACTGCATCTGCCAAGGCTGCTCGCCTGGTCCTGCATCAGATTGCCATTGTGCTGATTCCAATCTACGTCATCGTCAGCATCAACAAATACTATCCTCTCACGGCCTACCTTTTCCGTGGGTGAGTGAGTGTGTGTCTGTGTGCCCGTGTGTGTCTGTGTGCTGTGTGTCTGTGTGTGTCCGTGTCGTCGATATCACAACGCAGTAATCAGAGCAAACTATCGAACTGCGACGTGTGTTTATTATTTCTATCGCTCAAACTTATTTCACACACACACACACACACACACACGCACGTGTGCTTTGGGGCAGACTGAAGTGGTCTGTTCCACCCCGCGCTCAGGAGCTCATTCAGTTCTCCAAGCAGAAGTCCCTTGAACGGTGGGTTTGATGCGCGCTGGCTGCCACGTGTGTCTGTACCTGGGTTCTGCTGATGCTCCCGGTACCGTTGACGGTCATGCTTTTGTAGTGCTGAGACGACCATTCACACGCTTGTTCCTTGTACATTTGCGCATCTTGTATGCTGCATTAGGGATGCGAATGGAGATATCCAGGACTTTGAGATTGCGCGGTCGAGCCGCGTCATTCCGAAGAAGCGCGAGCTCACCCTTCGCGAGCTGTGGAAGCTGCAGTACATCGGCGATGTCACGGAACTGCTCATCGTCACGTCCTCCACCCTTGGTGTGTGTGTGTGTGTGTGTGTGTGTGTGTGTGTGTGTGTGTGTGTGTGTGTGTGCGTGTGTGTGTGTGTGCGTGTGTGCGTGCGTGCGCGTGCGTGCGCGCTTGTACATGTGTAGCTCGTTGTTGTTCATCTGAATGTGCACATGTACGTGCTTGTCTCTTCACGCTTGTCAGTGCTCCGAGTCTGTTTGTGTGTGTGTGTGTGTGTCTGTGTGTGTGTGTCTGTGTGTGTGTCTGTGTCTGTGTTTGTGTGTGTTTGTGTGTGAGAAGTCATGTGTCAAGACATGTGTGTACACCTCTCTGTGTAATCATGCATGTATGGCTCTCGGTGTGTTGCCTTGACTGATGTCCGAACAGCCATCTCATTCCATATCACCACCATCATTACTGTCAGCTGCAACTTTGGGGTTCATTGGCTGGGCGTTTGTCACGGGCAACTCGCTCAACTTCAACTCGGCTGCCTTCTTCCTCTCCTGTCTCGGCGTTTTTGAGGTCCGCAACGAGAAGCAACGTTCATGTGCATAATATGCGCATATGTGTATGTGCATATGTGTATGTGTATGTGTATGTGCAGATGCGTATGTGTGTACATCTGTGTGTGCGCTTCACGGCTGCTCGAATGCTCCTTCATTCCGCCTCACTTCATCATGTGTGTGTGTGCAGTGCGTGAAGGTGCTCACCACGCTTGGATTCAATGGTGGCCGTTATGAAATCAGCGTCAACATCCGTGAGTGCTGTTGTCTGATGTCGTGCACCGCACGCACACATCTCGACACCGAGCATCAATGCTGCTGCTTTGCATCAACGCTTGGGAGTTTTCACCTCTCACATCCAACCTTTGCATGTGGTGGGTGCAGTGTGTGCGTTCATCTGGTTCTTCCTTGCACTGGTCATGTGGCTCTCCATGAACCAGCACATTGCCGTCCAGGGCGGTGCAAGTGAGTAATATTGCGTGCTGTTGTCTGGGCATTGTGTCGTCGATCATGTATGCGTGTCGCATGTGGATGTGAGTGTTTGTTTGTCTGAGCTTTGTTCACCTGCGTGCGTGTATTCGAGTCGCCGGAAGTAATGACGGCGTGCTGAATGTTACCAGCTCACACGCGTGCATTTCATCTCCATAGTGTACGAACACATGCAAACGGCCGCTCGTGATTTCCTTCAAGAGTCCCAGCTCGACCCTGCCCGCCTCATGTAAGCGTGTGTGTTTTGTGCTTGTGTGTGCTTTTGTGCTTGTGTGTGCTTTTGTGCGTCTGTGCTCTTGTGTGCGTTTGCCATGTGTATTCATCTACGTTGCTGTATGTGCCTCCTACACGCGCTGGTGTACCTGTCTGTCTACCTGTCTCCTGTACGCCACGCCACCCCTTACCCCAACACTCGGCTCTCCTTCCAACCTCACCACACCACCACCACCACCATCACATGACCACCTCACTCCATCACATGACCACATGTCACTCCATCCCTCCATCACCACGTCACTGCCAGCTTCCCCGAGTACCGGTCGATGGTGCTGCTCGCTGCTGCTGCTGCCGCTGCCATTGGCGGCCTGCTCACCTTCCCCTCCTTCCGCTTCGCCCGCGCGTACGCGTCTGCCCTCGTCGTTCACCGCGAGAAACCAACACTCACGTGAGCAACCGTGGCCTGATGAACGTTGTGTGTGTGTGTGCGTGTGTGTGTGTGTGTGTGTGTGTGTGTGTGTGTGTGTGTGTGAGTGTGTGTGTGTGTGTTTGACAGACCCTTTTTAAATGTATTTGTTGTTTGTTGTTTTCATGGGTTTGATGCGGTTGAATGCTGCTCTGATCCCTCCTCTCCCTAACATCATCGCCACCATCACCGACACCATCACCGGCATCAATCACTGACCAGGGGTCTGCTCCACGCTGCTTTCGTATCGCCGCTGCTTGTTGTGCTGCTCTTCGCTCGCCCGACCGCCACCGCAGCCACTTCTCTCTTGCAGCCCTTCCTCCCACTGCAGTGCGTTGTGTCGTGGATCAGTGCTTGCATGCACGCAGGTGGTGGTGGTGCTGCTGCTGCCATGCATCGTACAACAACAACAGCAACATCATCACCACCACCACTACCATCATCATCATCATCATCATCATCATCATCATCATCATCATCATCATCATCATCATCATCATCATCATCATCATCATCATCATCATCACCATGTTGCCATCCTTATGGTCCTTGCATACACACGGGTGCACGCACTCATACACGCACTCATACACGCACTCACATACACACACATACACACATACGTGCACTCATGTACACAGGCTGCAGTCGTACACGCTGCTTGTGCTGCGAAGCACCGCTGTTGCTGCTACGCTACTTCTGCGGGCTGTGACTACACGGACGTTGATGCAAGCATACCTGGACATTGCACAAGAACGAATGGCCCAGCTCGGTGCGTGTTTACGACATGCAGCATGTTGGTGTTGTTCTTGTTTGTAAACACGTTTATATAAATATGCTCACATTGCTGCATGTTGTTGTTGCTGTCGTGCTGCAGATCAAGCCGCAAGAACGGCCACGCAAGACAAAGACACTGACTCCGGTGCGTGCACACACATGTCCAATATGTATCTACTACACCCATGTATCCACACCCGTGTATCCACACACGCACGCACACACATGCACACACACACACACACACACACACACACACACACACACACACACACACACACACACACACACACACACACACGTGCACACACACCGCTCACAATCTTGTATTTCTGTGCCATGTCTCTGCCGACAACAGGCGGTGGGCAGACGAAGAAGGAGAAGAAGGAGCAGAAAAAGGCCAACAAGAAGAAAGGAAAGAAGACCGAAACGAAAACGCGCAATTCAAAATCAAACGCGTCAGACGATGACGTCATCAGCGCGGGCGTTGTGCAACGACTGGTCAGTTGTGACGTCACAGCACCACAATGGCTGCTGTCTGCGGGATGCCTGTGTTGATGCGATTTGCCGTTTGCGTTTTGCCGGACTGCCAAATCACTGTGCGACAATCGAGCACTACAGTCACACCCCCTTCACTGTGCGTGTGTGTGTGTGTGTGTCTGTGTGTGTGTGTGTGTCTGTGTCTGTGTCTGTGTCTGTGCGCGGATGCCCCGCCCTGCTGCACGTTCAGGTGTCGAACATCTGGGATTATGCTGGTGTTGCAGTGCTGCAGATCATCACGCCGCCGCTGCTGCTTCTCTTCGCCGCCGCCGTCATGGTCATGCGCAGCACGGGCGGCGAACACCAGGACGCTGCCGTCTCGCCATGGGGGTGCGTTTGCAGTCACAAACAGTTTTTGTTTTGTTGTTTGTTGCTGGTCTGTTTGTTTGTTTGTTTGCTTGTTTGTTCGTTTGTTTGTTTGTTTGTTTGTTTGCTTGCTTGCTTGCTTGTTTGTTTGCTTGCTTGTTTGTTTGTTTGTTTGTTTGTTTGTTTGCTTGCTTGCTTGCTCATTCAGGGTTGTTTTCGTGTCGATCTCACACCTCCACACCACATGCATCTCCACCCTGTTGCGGCTGCTCACCAGGGAGCTTGGGACCCTGGCCGTGTGGTGGATCAGCCTAACGACAACCGCCCTGACATTCATTGGCTATGCGCTCTTGCGTGTGTCTGGCGCCGTTCCGAACGTCGCATAACCCACCCATCGCCATGAACAAACGTGTGTGTGTGTGTGTGCGTGTGTGTGTGCGCGTGTGTGTGTGTGCGCGTGTGCACCACCAGGTGTCACGCATCTTTCTCTCTCTCTCTCTCTCTCTCTCTCTCTCTCTCTCTCTCTGTCTCTGTCTCTGTCTCTGTCTCTGTCTCTCTCTCTCTTTCTTTCTCTCTCTCTCTCTCTCTCTTTCTCTCTCTCTCTCTCTCTCTCTCTCTCTCTCTCTCTCTGTCTCTCTTGCTGCCGCTGATTGTGTCTGTCCTGCCTAGCTCCTTACATTCGGCTGTGGTGGTTAGTTTCATTGAACCGTGGTCTAGACCAGGCAAAGTGCAACGTGCAGCTGTAAGAAAAGGAAAAGCAGAAAGCAAAGAGGAATGGAAGAACGGAAGTGACACACAGCATCAATGGAAGTCGAGCATCGCACATACAAGTCAGCCCCTTGGGCTGAGCTGGGCTGAATAAGATCTGCTTAAGGGAGAAACGTCAAGCTATCACAACTCACACACACACACACGACTCACAACTCGCTCACTCACTCACACAACTCACGACTCGCTCACTCACTCACTCTCTAAACACAACACACACACACACACACACACACACACAACAAACACACACATCACGTCATTAATACTGCAAGGAGTCATTGTGACAGAGGTTGACTTGGTTCATCTGCGAGTACCATGCCATCACTTGCATTCCCATCACCAACATCACCACCATCACCACCATCACCACCCTCGCCACCATCACTGCGCTTCCAGCGGCTGCGCCTGCGCTGTCCATCTCCTTCTTCGTGCTCGCGCTTCGCACGGCGACCGCGATACCGCCGCTGACGGGACCCTGCTTCCTTGTCATATCCCTGCTCCTGCTCTTGCTGGTGCCGGTCAGGGGCAGCTTTGCTGGTGCTGTGATGCCTTTGCTCGTCGTGTGCACCAACAGCGGCGTCGCCGGCTCCATCGTCGTCACGGACAGCGCCGCGACCACCATCCCCACCATCCACATCGCCACGGCGGTTTACACCGTCATCAGCCCAGCCGTCATCGTCACGATCGTCACTCCGCCGGCGATCATCGTGTTCATCATAGTCGTCATAGTGGTCGCTGTCGTATGGGCTGTCGTCACAGTCACGGTAGCTCTCGTCCCCACTGCCGCGTGCAGACACGTCAGCACCATCATTGTCACCCGTGTACTCGCGCCGCTGCCGCCTCTCATCACCATCACCATCACCATCACCATCGCCATGGCCACCACCATCGCGCCGACGGCTGCTGCGGCGGTGGGTGGTGTGGTGGTGGCGGCGGCGGTGATGCTTGTCGTGTCGGCGATGGCGCTGGCGTCTGTCGTGCCGATCAACAGCATCGCGGTCCCTGCGGCCATCGTCACTGCGGCTGTGGTAGTGCCTGCTATCGGTGCCGTCGCTGCTGGAGTGGCGCTGCACGTCATCGTGGCGATGGTCAGGACGATGCTGATGGTGCTGGTACGGACGACCACGCTGGTGCTGCTGGTTGTTGTGTCGGCTGCGGTGGTGGTGGTGTGGGCTGCGGTCGTACTGCATCCGCTGATCTCGGTCATGGCGATGGCTGTTGTTGCTGTTGTTGTTGTTGTTGTTGTGGCCATAGGCGCGCCGCTGCGGGCCACGGTAATCGTTGCTGTCATCGCCGTTCTGATAGTAGTTGCGCTGGTAGTTGTTGCTGCGGTGATAGTGGTTGTTGTGCTGGTTGTGTTGGTTGAACTTGTGGCGGTAGCCGCCGTCGTGATTGTTGTACCCGTTGTGGTTGTGGTACCCATATTTGTTGTGCGTGTGGTTGTTGTGCTGATGATGGTACCGCTGAAAGCGTCCACGGCCACGGCCACGACCCCTGCCACGCCCGCGGCCCCTACCACGCCCGCGTCCGCGTCCACCATCGTAGCTGTTCCTGTGGGAGCGCTGGTACCAGTGCTGCCTGCGGTCAACAAAGCCGTCGTCATCACTGTGGGCGGCGTAGCGGTGGTCGTTGTGTTCAAATCCACCATCATGGTGCTCATGGCGTGGCTCCCCATAACCGACATTGTCGTTTTGTTCATGGTGGTGCTGCACCTGCAGCTGTTCTTGCTGTTGTTGTGGCTGGTGCTGCTGTTGCTGCTGTTGTTGTTGCTCGACGCGTGCGTGCGTGCTGCCATCACTGCTACCGCGATGGCTGGGACCGTGTTGCATGCGCTGCGCGCTCATCAACTCCACTGGTGGCTGAAGTTGCTGCTGCAGCTGTGGCGGTGGTTGTGGTGGCTGCTGTGGTTGTGGCTGAAGTTGCTGCTGCAGCTGTGGCGGTGGTTGTGGTGGCTGCTGCTGTTGTTGCTGCAGCTGTTGCGGCCGTGGTTGTGGTGGCTGCTGTGTTTGCTGCGGCTGTGGTTGCTGGGCCTGCGCGGTTCCAACTTGAACAGCCTAAAACCATGACATGATGATGCAATGTCACCTGTGTGTCAGCCTCTTTGCAATTAAATGCAATGCGCATTTGAAACGATGACATGGCCTGGTACAAGAGCAAAACGAAACGCACCCTGTGGACGCGAAGGCAGGCGTTGTGAAGCTTGAATCCGTCCAAGCGTAATGCACCGGGAACATCGGCTGCGAAGACCATGTTCACAAAGGCGCTGTTGAACCCCTGCTCACCTCCATGTAGCTGCGCCTCTTGCACCTACCCGCACATGTGCATCGTATGTGTACGTGTACGTGTGCGCGTGTGTGAGCGGAACACACTAGTCCAAAAACGCGCATAAGCACGCACACACACACACACACACACACACACACAAACACACAAAATCGTTATGACAGACACTGTGCAAAGAGACACGTACGAGGCCATGTGATGAGAAGAGCCGGAGGAGCATGTCCACTGTGACGGTCGCAGGAAGGCCGTCCACACGCAAGGTGTTCTCACTGCAAGGAAAAGGTGCATAGTGCGGGCCAGTCATGCCGATGAGGGCCTCAGGAAGTCCAAATCATAGTTGGAACACTTGTACATGCACCCGTTGGCACTTGTTGACACACACATCCACACACACATTTCATGGACACACCGCGCTCACACTCTCGCACATGCTTCGTTCATTCGCACGCGTGCCTGCAGGCACTTACGAGATGGCTGGGCCAGAGGTCGGAGTCACCGTTGCCATGTTGGTGGCGGGGTGCGCTTGTGGCAGCGGCGGTGGCTGGTTGGGCAGCATGGTTGCTGGTGCTGCCGGTGCTGGTGCTTGTGGTGCAACAGTGGCTGGTTGTTGAGGCTGTGGGAGTGCGGGCGCTGGGGCGTGCAGCTGGGCTGTTCCTGGTTGAGGGAATTGGGCCTGCTGTTGCTGCTGCTGCTGCTGCTGGACAGTATGCGAGTGGCTGGCGCGGGGATGCGAGCGTGAAGCACCGTCGGAGTATGGTGGCTGCAGTGGGACCATGGTGGGCGTGGGCGGTGCCATCGTGACGGGCGCTTGTGACGGCGCCGCCATCTGACCTTGGGGCTGCTGCTGCTGTTGCTGCTGCTGCTGTCTGGCAGCGGTCGTTGTGGTGGCGGTGGTCGTTGTGACTGCGGGTGACCGGGGAGATGCAGAGCTGTATGTGCCCTCGGAGTGCGGGGTGTGACGACTGCGACGGCGGCCACGCTGTAAGTTGAGATTTGGCTGGGGTGGTGCTGTATTTGTTGCAGCTGCGGTTGGTGGCGCGAGTGTATGCTGCTGGTACGCTTGTTGTTGGTATTGTGGCTGCTGCGGCTGCTGCTGGTATTGCTGGTGGTGGTGCTGAGCAGAAGGGGAATCAAGGGCGCCGGTGCTCGCGGAATCGGTGCGGCTGCGGCGTGACTGGGAGTGGGAGTGGGAGTGGGAGGTGCTTCGGGACCGTGGCGTGTCTGCGGGTGCTAGAGCGACA